CACTCCACCAAAGACCACCACTGCCATACTAGGACTTTCTCTTTTAGGCTCTGAATTTTCTGGGTTGCCAGCAAATGTGGCTTGTACATGGTGGCATTGCAGGGACTGCCAAGTCTGAATTGGCTCGCCGGATGAGCAGTCTGTGTGAAGGCAGGTACTTTGAACGGCTTCTTACTCGGTTTTCTGTACCTGAGGAGCTTTTCGGACCTTTGTCCATGACAGGTACGGACACCATATGTACCATTTGCTATGCATCTTAGGTATGTCTTTTGTTGGTACTCTTGTTGGTAGATTTCAACATTTGTGTTGCCAGATGGCAGGGTTGCTTCTTGGGCTCAGAGACGTATAAGCCCGGTAGCACTGTGGATGTAGCGAACAGAGATTCAGCCAGTTTGCCTGTTGTGTACAGGTCTTGAGAACGACCTCTATGTCAGGAAGATTGATGGCTACCTTCCCACAGCTGAGATAGCTTTTGTGGACGAGATTTTCAAGGCTAACTCTGCCATTCTCAATGCGCTACTCACCATTCTGAATGAGAGGTTGTTTGACAATGGGAATGAGCGGCTACCTGCACCACTTCTGTGTCTGGTGGGAGCATCCAATGAACTTCCTGAGAGTGAAGAACTGGATGCCCTGTACGATCGTTTCCTGATAAGGCGACAAGTTTCCCAAGTGCGTGCACCCAGCATTGTGGATGTGTTGGATTGACCCTGTCTAGGCTTGGACACTGTGCACTGATCTCGATGGCAGTTTTCTGGTGGAAGGTAGGCAGCTGCCGGAGCCTGGCTTTTCATCGCACCCCTGTCTGTTTCTTTGCCTGCTTGTTTGATGAATCAATCCTGAACAGTGCACTGGCTGTTGCACGCTTTGACTGCCAGTTGGCACATGCACTAGCCTGGGACAAGCAAAGCAGCAGTTTCTCCATGGTGAGGAATTGATAGTCTGAATGCACAGCATCGGAACACCACTATGCTATGTACTGCCTGTTGAAGGAAATCAATTGGAGTTCGTTGAAAATCGCAACACAGGGCAATTTAATTGCACTGTGTCTCCCATGTTGTCTTGCTCAAAAGTTTTCTCATATTACAGCAAGTGCTACCAACATGTCATCCATCCAGTAGGTACATCACAGGGTTAGTGTGCCAAGAACATCCAGTTGAGGAGCGTAACAGGTTGGCTGGAAATTGGTTCTGATTTATCATAAGGTTTCTTTTAGAACATCTGAATTCCCTCCATGCACCCTTTTGAAAGAAATGCGAAAACTGGTGACTGTAGTCTGTGGTTGTGGAATCGAAACTCCAATGTTCCCAAAACGGCCAAAGATGCAAAGAGTGTGTTATTTGCCCTTACAAACTTCAGCCTCTTATATGTGTACAGTCTTCTTTGCTCATGCCAAAGCCAGGAAATGCTCCATTTTGGCACTTATTCAGGAGCCATTGTGCATTTGCAGGATGTGTTGCCAATTGCTATGGCATGATTCCTTGTGCAGGTCAGCAGTGGGCAGCTTGCAAGACTTGCAAGGTTGGCAGCTGGACGGAAGGATGCTATGGAGGATGATGCAGCGAGTGAAAATGGTGCCTCAAGTCCTGAAGGAGTGGGGAAGATTTCCATGGATCAGTTCAGGTAAGATGGCAGGTGGACACTTGTTTGAGACATACTGAGCAGTGAGGTGTTCCCACAATCTTTGAAGGAACAGTTGATCGTTTGAATTCCCTCAATATCCCATCACTGCACAATTCCTGTATCTTGATCACACAGAAAATTGTCATCCATCTGTGAATGTTTCAGATGTGATCTTGAGGCCATGCCACTGCAGAAGTGAAGTTTCTTCATGATGGAAATAAAGGAGTTTATGTTTCGTTGTTAGGAATTTGCTGATTCCTTGCATGCCTGCACAGTGTGTATCTGGCATTGTGTGGTTACTGCTTTTGGCTTCATTGGATGTCAGCTGTTCGCAATGAGAGCAGCGTGTGCATTCCAAAATTGCGAATTGTATTCTCGATTCCAATTTCACGCTCGCAGGAATACAGCAGAAGAAGCGTACGAAGCTGTGGATGTCCCTGAATCGGTGATTGACATTCTGACAAGTCTGAGGGATCACCTTCAGGACAAGTGCGAACCGCCAATATACGTGTCCGATCGGCGGTTCATGAAGGCTGTACAAATGCTGCAGGTTGCAGCACATGCTGATGGCAGAACCGAGGTCAGTCCATAGAAATGCTGACTTCATCCTCTCAAGCAGGGGCAGCACTTGCTGAAGGCAGGGGCATTGCCAAATCATGGGCAGCGACTTGGCCCCCACCAACCTTCTCCTTGTGGCGAATGGCAAATGTCCCGATTCAAGTGCAGCATTGGCGCTTGCAATGGTGACATGGTCTGATGTGGGCATTACCACCACAAGGATCGAAGGCGGAACCTTTTGTCACACATTCAGTGGTGTGTGCTATGTTGCTGTGGGACTTGTTGTGAGGGATCAGACATCAGCTCGCAGCAGGGTTCAAGTCTGTTTGTTCTGTCAATTTTATTCATACAAGTTCTGTGTAGCGACATACTCTTGTAACAAGAGAGATAGCCTTTCAGGTTGGCAGGGTGCTCCAGTCTGGAGGCAACAGAACCATGATGAGTAACGAATCTAATCGTCGATCAGAACGAATTGATGATTTCTGCATTCTGGATCGACTTCAGCCAGATTGTTGCCATGTGCACCAGGTGAATGAGTACGACGCCCTTTTGTTGGAGCATGTGTTTGGCAACCGCCCTGATGACTCACAGAAGGTGCGAAGCTACGTGCTGGAAACAATTGCATCTGACCCCGGTCTCCAACAAGCAGGCTTGATGTTCCTGGGGCTGTTTGGGCGGGCTATTCGCATCCTTGGTGAGTAACAATCACTGGCATGGCTTCCAATATTGGCGTTGGGCAAAGTTTGCCAGTTTTGTGCAGTTAGTCAGAAAGTGTTGATGGCTACTTGAGTTCATGTGGATCGTGTGTGATAAAAATCTCATGGCTGTGAAACGTACACATCGCCATGTGCAACACATCCACAGCCTCAGTATGCTGCATGGTTGTCATGACTGTAGGAGATTATCAAGTGCATGAAACAGCGCATGAATGCACCTGTTGGCAAACTTGAAGCATCTTGTGACATTCACTAATCGCAGTGTTTGTCAATAGATGGATGGTGAATTGTGGCATCGCTGGTACTCACTGTTGAGAATAGTGCCAATATTGTGCTTGATGGAAGTGCATATTTGTCAACATGTGGTTCATGCTAACCACTTGAAGCAAGCATTGCCCCTCAGTATCGAGTCCCTTCCCAGTATGTGTCTTCGTTCTGACCAGTGGATGCATATGGGCGCAGCGCAGTTGTTTTGGCAGCATTTGCCTCTAGGTTTGTGCCTGCTGATGTGTGTCCTTACAGAAAATTGCCATGAAGTAGTGAAATACTGCGATGACCTGCCCTGCTCCTTACCAGATCTTGTAAACATGAGGCTCAACAGCCCCATGGCATGTTAGCAATTGTTGGGTAGCCATCTATTGGGTGGCACAGTCTCTTGTCTGCTGCGCTTCAGATTCTGAATCATCGGACGAGTTGTCAGAAGTTCAGGAAGAGGTTTCCAGCTTGGTGGAGTTACTGGAGACCCGCCACAGTGGCCTGACCAAGACTATGGATGGCCAGTTCCCTCAGCTGCGATCCACTGTGTGGCACAGCCAGGAATCGGTGCAGGCAGCAGTGCAAGCTCTCACACCCCAGATGACGGAAAACAAAAAGAAGGTGCGCAAAGACCAAATAATCTGGACACTAAGGGTGTGTTACTATTTTGCGACCGTTTCTATCCAGCTTAGTGTGCACGTACATGTCGTGCTATTGTTGGCTGGGCAATTACAACGAGCAGAAGGCCCTGACGTGGCAGCAGAACTGGTGCACAGGGCTTGAAGTGTTTGGTAATGTAGACCCAGCAGGCTGGTGTCAGTTCCACCTGCCAAAGCAAGGGCCATTGTCGCCACTGCAGAGAGTGATGATCCTTGCTGTGCTCGGTCGTTCAGCTGGAAGAGCTGTACCGCGAGAGCTACCTCTTGAAAACGTGCCTGGATAGAGCGACGTCATCTTCAGTGCTCGAGCGTTTGCTGCCAAAGAGGTACAAGCAATACCAGAAGGGCATTTCGGGGAAGGCGTGACACCCCGAATCGAGGATTGCAAGGCTTTCGCCCAGAGAAAATGGACTCAAAAGGCGGTCTGTGTGAGTGGTGATGGCTGCAGCAGCGAACTAACAGATGGCAGCAGACGCCTGATCCTGCGCCTCAACTGTGCGACCCGGCTGTCTGACAAAAGGTGCGACAGCTGGATTCAGATCTGTCATTCATGCGCATCGAGGGTAATCATGCACAGCTGTACCTCTTTTTTCTGGGAGGCAGAGCGCCAAGCAGGGCTGTTTGGTTTTGTGTGCAATTAGCATGTAAATTCATGGCTGATATTTGATTGACAGGGAAGTCTTGGAGGGAATGATCTTTATGCTGAGATGCTCACGCGTTCCATGCCCCACCCCATGCCTTTTGGCCTTGCTTCATTGGCAGGAGCACGTGGTAGCTGATGTCGCAGCCCGGCTGCTGACCAAGGGCATTGGTTGGAAGATATTTGGAGCCTAGAAAAGTGTGAAATTGATCCTCGGAGGAAACTTCGATCGACTGCTGGCCAGTCAATGACACCAAATGCACGCCAGAAGCAGCCAAGGCGTCGCACAAAGATTTGCAAGGCTTGGCATTAATGTGAGTGTCCATGATTTCGCATGCATAAATTGCTGTTGGCCGTACTTGGTTTAGTGGTGGCATAAGGGTAATTCTGCGGTGCCTAATGTCAAATTGATGCTGGGCTCACGCCCCTCCTCGCCGCGAAAAGAATGGCAGCATGCGTTGCCTACCAGAATGGCCGTGACATACCAGGAAGGAAAGACGTGGGTATCAGCCAACAAGCATTTGTGCAGCTTCAAGGAACTCGTCAACTGCATGCTCGCGCTTAAGGAGCAAGAGACAATCGATCGGGTTTTAGCGTACTTGAAGTCTCGCTGGGAAGCGGCGATGCGGGTTGAGATCTGTTGCTGGGGACATTCTAAGATAGGTTGAATTCTTTGTGAAAGGCAGATACAGAGACCAGGGGAGGCCACCAATTGTTAAGAGCAAAATGCAACACAATCTGATGCCATGGCCCAAAATTAGGCCTCACAAGCTTGGTGACGTAACCAGTGTTGAAGGCAGGGAAGCTAGCGACTTCGAGCCTCCGGTGCCACGTGGACAAAAAACACGACAAGTTCCCACGAGTGGGTGAGTACCCGAGAGGGCGGTGGTGCATTGTTCAACTGCGAAGTCACCGCCAGAAGAGACTTCCGTGGCGACGTCCAGATTTCCACTCGCCATTAAATCCGATCCTGGCATTACCCTCGGCAAATTTACATCAGTTGCAAAGTTGCACAAGGGCCATGTGCTATTTCGAACGAACGGCATGTGTCTTCGCTCCCACACTGAAGCCCGAAAGTCCAAATCCCAAACGCAATACCTCGTCTGGACAAAGAGCAGGAAGCGAGATACCCGCGAGGGTTGAGCAAGTCAGCGGCGGGCGACAAGGGCTATGATGCTTACCATAGGTTGACTTCGTGAGGTTGGTGCAAGAAGGGATGCGGGACTTGCATTCTGCGCAGCACTGCAAAAGAATGACGCAAGCGTGCCGCCTTCCTCGCTGCAGTCGGAAAGCCAGCATCAACCAGCATCATCACGTGACCCCGGCGACACAGCTCGACGGTAGTTGGCATTCAAGCTTGAATGCCTTAAGGCCATGCTATTGATCCTAACGGTGCCTACAAAACGGGTCAGTCGCATCAGACGAGCTGACCCACCCTCTGCTGCCTGGCTAGACCCTACATGGGCTCCCAGCACCAGCATTTGCCGAACCGATAGCAATGAAATAGTGAAATAGTTTCCAGGGCTTTTGTTACCACGCTCAAAGAGGGCGTGTGACAAAGTAAAATGATGTTTCAGGAACCGTCGATGAATCCGAAGAACCGCCCTTGAACGTGATGAGGCAGTTTTTTAGTCCAGATTGGGTTCGGCTAGGACACATCGCGAGCCGCAGATCACCAGTGGTCTCCCTTTCTTTGCTTTTGTGAGGTGACTTCGAGACATTTGCCTCGCCCAACAACACCGCAGCCTGAAACAACCACACCTCCCGGCACACTATGCCATGAGATGATGCGCTTGCGATTAACCGACAGCCGCCATACCAATACATTTGCGATGGAGGCAAGAATCTTGATCTATCAGATACACTTTTTCTTTTTTCTGTGTCATCGTTGTCGTGAGGAACTCCTACATATCGAAGTGGGAGGCAGCCATCAGCTTCCCATTCGCCCGAGCAAAGCATGCCCGTGATTTGTGTTACTCAACCCCGTGACTTGTGTTACTCAACCCCGTGGAGCAGGGAATGCAAGACTCGATTGTTGGTTACCTGGATTGCACAGGGAAGTTGAGCGATGTCGTCGAAGCTGGGCTTGGTCAATCGAGGAATTGTCGGCTACACTGGGGCTATACCGAATGCCTCGTGTTACCTACTTGAAACAAAGGGAAGCACCAAGAGAACAGGTATTGACAAACGCTCAAATGGACATGAGACACGCGAGTTGCGGACCTGGCGCAACGAAGTGTCACGCAGCGAATTCTGTTCGTCCACGCACTTGCAATTCACTTCTCGATTTACGTAATTCTGCAGGGCTTGCCTTGGCGGACAGTCCCAAGAACGAGGGACAGGAATCAGTCAACAACAGTCACATCGTTTCATTGTAAGCGCAGACTTTCATGTTTCCATCCATCCAAATGTTTTTGGTGAGAGCGCATCCGAAGCAAGGAATTGACATTCGGAGTCTCTTTTCAAGGTACCGGAACCACTATGGAGCTTACACTGGCTACCAGCGACCAAACAAGGAGGGCGGTGGATACTGGTTTTCTCAGCGAGCGCTCGGTGATGCCCTTCCATTCACAGCTGTGTCTACGTACACAGCTGAAATCGACCAATCTGGACAGAAGGCGCTCGGAAGTTTGAAGGCCGGCAGGACATCTGCAGAAGGACTTTCTGAAGGGTATGCCCGCCAAACACATCGCGCGACTTTCTCCAGGCTAGAGCACCCACGGGGATGCATGCGCCAGGGCATTGAAGCACAGACTATAGTAGATCCGTCAACTTGAGGACTATTCCCAAGAGAATAGGTGTAATATTACATCATTGTCCTTTATGCTGCAATCCATGATAATAGCAATGCAATTTTTTAATGGCAACAAAATCAACTTTGCATATTGGCAATTGCCACGTTCTATACCACATTAACCGTAATGAAATTATGTCAGAGCCCACAGCTGGGATGTTATTTCGAATTGATTCAGTTTCATCATCTTCATCATATTCATCGTCTTCAAAGTCCATGGATTATATTTGCCACAAAATGACAAAACACTGCCCGTGCACCTGGTAGGTGATGATGGGCGTGAAAACCAAGCAGATAGCGTGTTCGGAATCGATTATTCATGGTCACATTCCATCGAATACACCTTGCAGTTGAAACAGACCGCAGTTGCGCCAAAACCGCATATATGTGGCTTGCCGCTTTCCCCAGCTTAATGTGTGACATATGTGTCACATAATAAGCCGCAAGAAGCGATTATGGGTCGCAAGAACAAAATACGAATGAAGCCATTAGCAGAGATTCGATAGCGCCATGATGCTGATGTCACCTTGCATTGTAGCTGAGTTGGCTCCATCCAATATTCGTACAATTGGCTCAATGCCCCTTTCCCCTTTGGCACGCCCTGTTCAATCCATAAGCACAGCTCAAGGAGATGATATGATCTTAAAATTATCATTGAGTCAATGAATGCCGGCGCCACGCGCAATTCATGCCCCGCAACGGAGTACCCAGAACATAGACAGAGACCACCATGTGTAGTATGGAGTCCAGTTTGGACAACACAGGCCATCATGTAGCCTCATTATCTAGGCCGGCATGTTATACTTGGACTCCCAGGTGCCCTTCCCGTGGCTCAAGCCCGACAAAAACATCTGTGCCATCGTGGAACGGGGAGGCATTGGGGTACCAGACCGAGTACGGATCCATGGTGATGAAGGATGCCCTCACAGGCGGGGCGGTTTCGCCGGGCTGCACACGAAGCCGAAAGGATACAGAGGAAGGGGACGGCAACAGGTTCAAGGTGACTGCGACCTTAGTTCTGGTATACTTCTCGCTTGCATGAGCCCATTGATGCAAGGCTTTGCCTTCAGCAACGGAATATAATCAAAATATTCCAGGTTGTGTCTCTCGCGAGAGCATCTACTCGACGCACATCCGGGAGCCGCCTGGTCATCAATAAATTGGGGTTCTATCAATTCAATCGGACGGACTCTTGCCTCTAGATTGTGTGCTTGCAATTTCCAGATTTGCCCTTGGAAAATGCAAATGGAGCAGCCGTTTAGAGTTGTGCGTGTTGCCAGGTCCTGCCCCATGCCATGCTGCCCAGGATTCAAACCTCAACAACTTACCATGACAATTACGGCACATGCGGATCAGATCCCCTGGCCAGAAGCGCACCCAACGAGCAGGAAATGACTCGAACTGCCTCTACAATTAACCTGGCTCACGGAACACCGCGGAACACGTACCACATCCCAGGCTACGGTGGGTTCATTCCGGAATCCACCCACAACAAACTTGCTGTGACGCAAGCTGAGGGCCAGCACACTCGAATCGATGCCAAGGTGCGCCGGAGTAGAGGAAACTTGGGCGCTCGCTTCTCGCGGTCTAGCTCGGTTTGAGTGATTTGCAGTACATGGCGAATAGAGTGCGGAGATCGCAGAGCAACTCAGGTAGAAATATGCAGATGTGCGAGGCGATGCACTAAAGTGCTGAATCGCATTGGTGTTGTCCGTATGCAGTGAATGTACATTACATCTTAAGGCAGGAATTGCATTCCATGCACCTGAGCGCCGTTTCGGATATCCGCCCATCTGCTATTGGGGTGGCATCCAAAGGGCGGCGATGGGAAAGCCATCGTTACTGACCATGCTTCTCTTTGAATGCCAGATCGACATGCTGTTGTCAACTTCTGTTGACCAGTACAGCCGCGGCAGGCTCCCGGGATACACGGGATGCAGGCCCCGGGACAGCAAGAATATCAAGATTGACCAAATGCCCCGAGGGCTGCCTTTGGATGTAGACGGAATGGCAAACACGCCCGGCGGGCGCAAAGGAGTTATGAGTTTCTTTACAGGAGGCCCCGGGAACGGAGAGGCCGAAGCGCAGCTTTACTACCACGACCTGAAACCTCTCGAGGGCTTGCCGAAAATCGAGGTGCCTTCCAAAACCACCCTCTACGGTGCTCGATTCAACGGATGAGGGGGATGGCTTTAATGCGGCAGTGAATCGCTCTATTCTATGAGACTCCCGCCGCCATGGCTCAACGGAAGGCGAACCCCTCGTCCAGTGCACAAGTCTTGCAGCCGAAATTGGGTGGAATGGGCTTTCGTCACAATTTCGGCGAGTTCAAATTTGGCATTGCTATCGTGCAAATTGGGCAACAACTTCGGGCTTCACAGAGCTTTCCCCATCCATGGGCGCTTTGGATTTGTCTGTCCATGCGTCCCTTGGGCCAAAGTTCCAGGCGATTCCCTCGCGCGCTGATTTCTAATCAGCACTGTGCTTCTATCAGACAGCTCCATGGATTATATTTGCGTTTACGAGACAAAGCTAGACCCCATTCACCTTGCAAGAACCTCTCCAAGCGTTGACATTATCGACGACCGTTCAAATTCCGTGACTCAAATATCCTCGTTTAATGTGTGGCCATCTAGGCTCACTCCACCACTACATGATGGCATTCTCCAACCCATTGAGAGCGGCAAAACGGCTTGCAGTCTCTTGCTTTGCAGACAATGCCAGGGTGCGGCGGATTAGCGTTCCTTTTGGGCAATCCTCGAGAAATTTGGAACGTAAGGATCAAAGCTGACTCATTCTTGACTTCCTGAGTATGGGCAGTGCGGCGTGTGGCGCGGTTTGGCCGTTTACGATTTGGGTCTGCCGCGGCACCGCCCCTTGTCGCCCTTGACTTGATACGGTGCCCCAGGTGCCAAATATTGCTGAGACACTCGCGCTGCCCAACACGGCGATAAAACCGCCAGAAGAGCGATGGACGCGCATGGGCTACGGAACGTAGAATGCAGATGACAATACTTGATTTCGGTGGCTGTTGACCCTCTTGGGGCCGTTCCTGGGCACCCCCTTTTCCAAAACAGAGATCGTATTCAAACCATCCTAATGCTTGGTGCTGGTCTTCATAAAATGCCTCCGTAGCCTTCAACCAAGGAACGCGGGTCACGACTGGTGGTTAGTTTTGGTACGGACGCGACTTGATCATTCCGAAATTGTAACGTACCACGTGGCCCACGTGACGTGGGCACACCTCCTCCTAATGCGACTTAGGACAAGCTTGTACCGGACACCTTAACCATCGTCGATACCAGGGTGGATCACATTATATAATGTGCTCATCATTTTAGTAGAAATTGACACCTGGAGATCATTGCCAAGCAGCAGTGACGCCGTCACAGAAGCAGCACGCACTTGCTGATGCGTACTCGACGGTCATCCAATCCCTATTGTGGTTTGAATAATGGGTGGCAAATACGCGCAGCTCGCGACGCGAATCGCTAGCACTTGGTTCAACGGTGGTGGCACATTTGTCTCCACAGGTGCCACTGTGGCTGAGACCCTTGTAAGGTCTTACGAGATGATTACCTCCTCAGAGTGTTACATGGGGCTGGATATGATGACGGTAGAATCTCGAGCGTCTTTTGGCACAGAGTTGGGGATCAGCACGTATATTGACCATAATGTAAAATGTTTTACCGCACATCGTATTGGACTTGCCAATGCCAACCCTCGAATGTATCATGCCTCCAACGATGCCGATTCGGCTCACCGGCTGCCATTGCAGCTGCGTACTGAACTACAAGGAACTGTCGCATCTCGGTATCCACCTGCAATGTGTGATTGTTGGTTTGTCTCGATCTTTCCCAACGGCATTAATTTCAATCTCCCTCCTGGAGAAATTCCGCCAACCCCACCATTTATGCACCCCTGTCCTCACTGTTGGCGTCTATCCCGCCGCCCGCCGTCCACCTTTTGCTGCAACTCAACCCAAGTCGCCAACAATTTCACTAAAATCGCCCCGCTTCCTATCCCCTGCTGTAGATCTGTTGTTTTCCAGCAAAATATCACCAATCGCATAGCCAACCTACGCAGTGATACATTCGTTTTCACAACAGGTACCACATATTCCCTGGTAATTATACAAGTCCGTTTGTGCGATTTTGATGCTTGACTTCATGTGCACCATGGCCGACGACCTCACTGCCTGGTACATACCATATGTACCATATATGGTCCGAGCATGCTATCAGAGAAACGTTAGAAAAGAAGGTGGCAATGCCTCAATAAAATGAGACCGGTTTAGTCGTAGTGTGCATATGCATGTTCAAATTTGCACAGAGCATTTGCCAGGAAGAAATTCAAAGAAACAAGAGAAGCAAATGCAAGAAATAAGTAGAGAGAAGGGAACGCGAGGGCATTGCTGCCAAATCAACCAAGAAGGATGAAATCTCAAAGTTGGGGACAGAATAAAATAAGTCAATAACAAAATAAGACATTCGTTTGGAATTGGAAGAATTTTACATGTACAAGATAAGGGGGAATTATAACAAGTCTGTTTTCGCACGAGCACATGCCATCTAATAAATTTTGATACAATAATAAAATACGTATAAAATACAGCCAAACAATAGTCTGAAATACGCGCATTTATGGTCCGCGCCAGATGTATTACCAAATCTACCAAGAGAGATGCGCTCAAGAGGAGCACCAGTGCGATGCTGGGGAGGGATCTATGCGATCAGGTCAGTATACATACCATTGGATCCACTGGAGTGTTTCACCGATCCACCCATGCCTGCCTTTTCCTGGATCCTCCCTTGCGCCATCAATAGCCTGTAGGTCATCAAGCAACCTTGATGCTTGACGATTTGCTGCATAGGGAAGATTGCTGCCGCCATCAAATGGCCAATCCAACGAGTGTCGTGCCAGCCTCTTCTTGTTTCCATCCCAACCCATGGCCACCAGAATTATCTTCAATAATCAACAATCCTCAATAATCTGATCCGCAATAATCTAATCCTCAATAATCCTCAATAATCTGATCCACGCCCCGAGCTGCAGATCGCATGTCTGCAACGTCCAGTTGCAGTACATCACCGTACGTTGCAAAAGGCTGAGAATATGTTAGTCTCTCTGTCCCGTCCGTGAATATCCCTTCTTCTTCCGCTGACAAGGCCAGCATGGGTCAGTGGGTCAGTGGTCCAGGGTTCAGGGCGTCGAAACAACGTGTTTAGGGATCCTCACAGAAAAGGCAAAGCGACCAATTTCATGTCGCGCAGGCCGCTCTAACCAAAATTACCACTGCCACGCAGTGCCCGGTAAGCGGGGCCGCGGCCTGGGGTCCCGGTAGATGGGCCGCGTAGACACCGCGGGGGGTGCCTGCGGCGCTTTGGGCAGGAGCCCCCCGTCGATCACCTGCGCGCCCCCCTCCCACGCCAGGGGCCCGGACACCTGCGGCCCACGATGGGCAAGGACAGGACGTGCGAGGTGGTGTGCCCGCCGGAGCGGCACATCCCCCTCCCCCCCCACGAGCTCAGTCACGTGTTCCTGTCCCGGCTGGCCGACAGCGACAAGGAGAAGTACCGGGAGCTGCTGAAGCTGTTCCAGGGCACGTCGCAGTTCGAGTTCGTGGATATCAGGCAGAGGGTGAAACGCAACTTCCGGCTGTTCTCGCTGGGCGCCTCCGGCGAGGAGTACAAGTCACGTGGGGGCTTCCCCAAGAAGCAGGCCCTGGAGGAGCGGGAGCAGACCTTCATCAGCGACTTCATCCTGCTGATGAGGGCGGCGCACTACCAGCTGCTGACCCAGAGGGAGTGGGACACCGCCCTGGCGGAGGAGTTCCAGCTGAACATGCCCGTCACGGTGAACTGGGACTACCTGGACAAGGACATGCTGACGCGGTACTGGGAGGGCCGGCCGGAGGAGCGCGGGGGGCTGGCGGAGATGTCGGACAGCATCTTGGTGTTCCACAGGGGGGTGGGCGTTATCAAGGTGGAGGGCTTGTTCATCAGCGAGAAGATCGACCTGCTGGTGGCCCACTTGGTGGGCGCCATAACGGGGCCGCTGTCCAGGCTGTGGAAGTGGGCGACCGGGAAGAAAGAGCCCGCCGGTTACGAAGGAGTGGCCGAGGGAGAGGAGGAGGAGGAGGAATGGAAGGTGCACAAGAACAGGAGGATCGTGCAGCGAAGGACGCTGAACAGGGTGCTGTACGACATCCCAACCGTGCTGAAGAATGTATTCAAGAAGGTGGAGATCCAGGAGCCCACGTTCGAGGAGATGCTGGTCATGTATCGGAAGAAGGGCCACAAGCCGAAGGACCTCAGGGCAACGCCCCAGGCGGCAAAATTGGCGAAGAGAAACATCTTCGTCAAAACGTTCAAGGACGTGCCAATGGCTGACGCCGAGTTGATCTTTCCTGAGAAGAAGGTGTTCATCAAGCAAATTATGAAGATCCAACTGCTGGTGACGGTGATCGCAGCTTTCGCCGCTGCAGGGGGAATGCTCGTTGGGGTAGGTGAATGCCAGGCAGCATGAGGGACTGGGAATTGGGCATCCAAGTTGTGCCACCCTGAAACTCATAGTGGATTGATTAATTCAGGGATCTGTTGAGTTGAAGTGCTATACCTGGAGATTGACCGCCGAAAAGCCATATACGAACTCAGTATGAGCTATACAGGGTTGCTGGCTCCCTTGACTCTCAGATGGCCCTACCACTGCTTTTGCCTTTCCACCTTTGCTGTCATTACAGCCTTTGCTTGTTGTCTCTGTTCCTTCCACTGATCTGACACGTGTTTGTATTTGTAGACGGATCTTGACTACGCCGTGATTGGCTCAGCTCTCATGTTGATCCTGGGGCGAGCCACCCAAGTGTACACGTCTTTGGCACAAAGGAAGGCTGAACTGACGAGCGAACTTTCCAAGATGGTTTATAGCAAGGCCAAGGATTCCCAAGAGGGAGCATTGAATCAAGTTCTGGACGAAATGGCCGACCAGACCCTCAAGGAAACTATCTTGACGTATTCCCTGCTCTTGACGCATCATGGGCCATTAACCAAGAAAGGATTGGATGAGGAGTGTGAGCGATTCCTTGAGGAGAACTTCAACATGAAGATAGACTTCGCACTTGATGAGTCCCTTCATCGCCTTCAAAAAGAAGGGCTGGTATCCACTGAGAGTGACGTTGGGGTGCTTTGTGTAAAGGATCTGGACAGGGCCACGGTGAGCAAACTGTCCCTGACCTTATGGCAGAATCTGATGCGCTTGGGACACCTGCACACAAAAGAATTTTCTGCACGACTGTTCCTAACAAGGTTGTTATCAAACAGATATTGCCATGTGCCTTGCAAGCCGCCACTGTTATATGTTGCGATTGGAGGCATGTGCATATGTTTTGCAGACTGAACGATCGCATCAAGTACGTTTTTCAGGCTGGGGAAATACCCTTTGCAGGACTTGCTTTTCTCTGTTCAACATCAGACGATCTCAACTGATGCATGGTGGCCGTCTCAAAAGCTAACTTAATAACTGACCTGAGCAGATGACACCCTCCAGTCGGAGTTTGTGTCAGATCATGTGTCCTGCCACTGATGGCAGAAATACGTGGTTTCGTTGCAGGGGCTGATGAAGGAAAAGTGGCATGGTTACTTCGATGAGATGAATGACATGGACGAGTCTAGCTCCTTCTTGCATGGAAGCAAGCTTCAGAAGTCCAGTACCTTCTTGACACAGGCGACTACACTGGGAGGATCAACTGTGGGGGCGGTCAAGCAAGGATTTCGTTCAGGGATACAAGGAGTTAAGAGTGTGTTCACTGGCACGAAGAAAGCGGACGACAGTGAAGGTGGTCATCCTGGCCTGTTGAATCGCATCAAGACCCGTGTCACATCCAAGAAGTAGATGCAGGATGGGTTGCACATTTTCGATCACATCACATTCATTCAAACATATCTTTTCAGATTCTCAAGAGTTTGTGTTGGATGCGTTGGGTTGCTCTTGCCAATCTCTTACCGAAATGACACACAGCTGCGAGCCTGCGACTCACCCTAGTTTTGCACTACTGAACAAGTTGATAATGCCAGTTGAGCTCTCATTGTTCTTACGTTCGGCCTTTGCCGAAGATGCCCCTGGCCTCCAGGATCACCAACACTATTGAGCAGTGAGGTGCGTCGTGACAAAATTTAGCAGGGGAGAAGCGGATGGATTTGATCATTTTTTGACGGTGGCTGTCCTAATTATTGAAAGGCAAGCACGACTACTGGATTGGTGCACCTGTTCAAGAACGGTGGAAGTCTTGTCGAATGCCAGAGTGTTGAATTTCGCTGTGCGCATGCTGCAGCAGAGTGTTGTATTTGTAATCAGGTCACGGATTGATGGTGGGGGGTCTTTGGCTCACGTTATCGAATCGAAAGTAGCACTGCGGATCGCTGCATTCCTTTGTTGCGACCAAGGAATCGGGTTGCTCCCTGCCCCTGACACAGGGATATCCCCAGCCTCTGTTTGTCAATGGCAGAGCATAGCCATTGCTTCCTCTGTGGCTGAAAGTACACGTTGATGAGCGTCGCCAGTATGCTTTTCCTTTGGTATGGAACGCAGCTCCAAAGGCGTGTGCGTCATACATCGAAGATCCTCAAAGTGGCATGCCCTCTGAAAATACGTAGGTCACACTACTGTTCGGCATACGTTAATACCGACCCGACCTTTGAAGTGGAAGAAGGGGGCGCGGGACGCCACGTGTGCGATACCACCCGTTGCGCGGGTGTAGGTTGGGGGTTTAGGGGAATGCGCGGGACGCCGTATGGGCGTCCCGCGCCCCAAAATTCTGTAAATGGGAAAGGTCGGGTCGGATTTAACGTATGCCCTAATGTTCCTGCGACCTTGCAAGGAGGCAACCTCTCAAATGCTGAGACACGCAAAAATAGTGTCCGCCCCGATTGTAGCCAAGACTACAATTCGTGCAGTCGTCAGATGGGGCCACGTTGTCCTGGCTGTTTGCAGCATTGCTATCAACCAGCCTCCCCAATTGCTGAACACCCAAATTCTGGGATGTCCATTTGGTGTGGGTATATCGCTACAATCACTGAAAGGCTGAGCCGCTGTCCAGCTTCGACCTCGTTGCGGCGCTCCAATCGTGGCAACACGAGTTGTTCAGCGCCTCGCGACAGTTGCATCTCTACTGCTACAGTCTGTCGGGCCCAACGACAAAATATCATAATGGCATATCCATCACGTCTCGACTACGGGGTCCGTTGCCATCATTGCGCCTTCCAGCCTTCAGTCATATGGCTATCGCCCCAGTTCAATGCAGCATCACCTCTTTTTGTCGCGAAGCAGCAGGTTCCCCGAGGCTCATGTGCTCGTTCGATTGCCTTGCCTGCGCGCCCATCTACTACTGCATCGGGACGGTTGGGGCCATGGAACGGTGGCTATCGGGCAGGGTGGGAATTCTCATCACTCTTTGTACTGCAAGGAGCGTCAAACCAGCCTAGTATCTGCGTTTTGCATTGCACATCTGCAGGTCCCGTGGCACTAAATCGCAGCAAATTGTGCAATGCGTTTCTTTGGGCCCACAACCAGCAGCACTGCCGCTTCTGCTGGTGCAGCACCGTCGTTGGCCCTCCTTGATTCATTCTGGCTGCTGTAGCTGGCAAGTCTGGTGGGCTCCTTGGGCTTCATGGAATAGACAACGTGCTGCGGCTGTGTGTAGAACTCTTGGTGACAGCGGTGCTTGTGAACGTTGTTGCTTGCAGCAAAGTCTGCCTTGCTAATTTTGGTTATGTCCACGTTACTTCGATTGCATAATTCCTACAGCACGAGCTGATATTAGGCACCAGAGAGCCACCAGCTTGTCATTTACCCATCCTCCACTCAATCAACTCGATTTTCCTGCCATCGTTGTTGGCATCATTTTCAGCACACACACTGCATTTTTTAAAACAGTAGACTATGGATTCCCCAATTCTGGGAAATTGCTGGTGTATCGGGTATTCGTGACAAAGGTTGGAAAACCCATGCACTTGCGATCTACCTCTCACCGATGGGACATCCCCTTCTTGTGAGAAAGAATCTTGCACTTCCGATTGACCTCCGTCATTATTGGGACATCAATCTCTTGAGATGGGTGCGTGTGCTCTTCACATTCATGCTAATATCAGAAGCGATCAGATCAAGGTGGCAAGGAAACTCAGCTGGTACAGTAGTGTGTGCCGCGGGGGGTGGCACCAGAGTACAGAAAGAGATTCCTTGCCAACCACGCTGAGAGACAGTCACCACTTATGGTCATGGCACCAAGTTTCTGAGAAAGTCGCCGTTATCATGGCTGGATTTCAAAGTTGCAAGCTATCCAATGGTCGGCCACGATGCAGGGAACACTGGAATGTACCTGCCTTCTGTGGGGGTACATGGCCAGAAGAATCAGCTTGCAACAGACTGTACAAGTGCCGTCAATGGTCGCCACTCAGAGGTTGCACAATCGCGAAGGAGCCGCTCAATGATGTTCGGCGCATTGGCTTTGAGACGCTCCTTAATTCCTAAGGAGAACCTTAGTGCCCTTTTCAACCTCGAGTCGAAGTCCTCCAAAATAATGCACCATACTGGTTGTCATTTGTGCAAACTCTCCATCACCTGCCCACAAGCACATTGCAGGCATGTAAGACATATCTTGTGACCAACATGCTTGATGGGATGCATAGAACGATTGCCTCCTCCATCAAAATGGAAAAGAATGCAGTCGGGCTTCAGATTTTCAATCATTAAAAAGCAAGAGCCGAGGACTAGCAATGGCAAAGTCAAAGTCCTATTCCGCTCCAAAATTGCAGATCAGAGACATCGTTCACGCACCTTCACCGGAGCTGGCGGGGTTTTAGGTTGGGGAGGATTGAGCGACTCGCGTATAGGGGGCACCACAAGTGGCATCACTAAACCTGGAGGCAACGGCAACCGCTTAGGTAACATCAGACACAGACGTGGCACAAGAACTCTAACCTCCAAGTACCACAAGCAGGTCACAGACGGGCGAAATGAAAGATTCTGTTCGTCCCACGCCCGCAGATATGTTGAGGCAATGCGGTGGTTCAGCGCGGTCCACAGGCTGACCAGCCGGTCGGAAGGCCTGCACATTTCCGTACTGCGAAAGGCTGGGCCTTCGATGCCACCGCCAGTGTTTCCGCTTATCTGAAAAGCGCGAGGATCGTCTCGGCGGGAAGTTTTGTCAGCCGACGGGAGACCAGCCAGCGCAGGTAGGACAGGACCTATCCGATGCGCGCTGCCAGATGCTCACCCACTCCACCGATTATGCAGCTCCACATCACCCACGGCTCGCTCTGCATGGCGCTGCGAAGCCAAGCAGCAGCACCGGCCATTTTGGTTTGTGGGCGGGGAGGCCTGGGCAGGGCGCCTGTTCTCTGCCCGGCTGCGCCCAACCCGCGGAGCTGTCAAATGCCCATTGCTGTAGTAGTTTGATGCCATCAAACCGGGAACATCTAACCTGCCCCAGTTTCCCACCAGCGCAATTCCACAGTCCCTCGGTCGTGGCCTCGGTCAGCGCGGCGGACACTGCCAAGCACCCGCGGGTGGGGCGGGAGTTTGGAGCAAAATGCCTCCCAAGAAGAGCGAGAAGGCCAAGAAGGCCATGGACAAGGCGAAAGTGGAAGCCAAGAAAAAGGTGAGGCTGCGAACTACGGGAGGCAAGCACCTGGCCTTCCCCTGCATGGCTGCGTCACCATTCGTCGCAATTGGCGCTGCAGGTGGTTGAAGACAAGACCTTCGGCCTGAAGAACAAGAACAAGAGCAGCAAAGTGCAGAAGTGAGCTCCCGCAGTGCGCAGCTGAATTGCAATCCTGTTGGGTGGGCTCCTTGCCAAGCCGACGCTGACGTTCGCCTGCCTTCCTCTCAGGCACATTCAACAACTGCACAGCACTGTGGATCCGAATGCAAAGGCCAAAACGCAGATGGCAGATGCCAAAAAGGAGAAAAAGAAGCAACAGGAAGAGTACCAGAAGGAACTGGACAGCCTCTTCAAGGCTGCCTTCAAGCAGCCGAAAATCCCCGTGGGTGAGTGCCGCAGAATCCAAAACGAGTCCTCCTTATGCCCACTTCTAATTGCACGAGAAACAAGTGCTGCCACCTCTTTATCGGAGCATAATGTGTGCCGCATTAAGCTGCGTTCTGTGGCACATGTGCCCACAGCAACATCAGCAGTGTCAGTAGGCCACTGCGACAGCACTGCTGTAACTGTGGCTCTTTCCAGTGTCAAATTCACGATTTTGCAGAGGATAGAATTGTAGTATCGCTCCAAATCCACAGCTGCTGGCAAAGCAGATGCATTGAGGTTCAGAATTCAAACAGGCTGTCTTGGCATGGTGGTGCTGGTTGGTGATTTGTGTATGTGGGCAAGTGGTGGGATGAAGATGGTGGTGGAGTAAACGCAATGGCAGCGACGATTGGTCCATTTGTGCTGTCATGCACTGCTTCGTGAACAGGTTGGCTGATTTCACGATTCACTCTCTGACTTGTGGAAGAATTGTATGTGGGAAAAGCCCCCTGTAGGGTGACCCTCTGAAGAATTCTGACGTGCAGATTTTTGCCATCGCAAACTGGAGCCTCAGCATCTAGCTGTGATTTCCTCGCACGCTTGTGGTGTCTGTGATGTGTTTTGCCACATGTGGTGTGTTTGCTTCTGTGGAGTGCAACACGCATTGCCAAATGTTTGCATCGTGCAATGCCTCTGCATGCAGCCACAGAGAAGCACCAGGTGCCACAGTGTGCTTTAAGGGTGGCTGGAATAAAGCAATCCACGGTTTCTTTGTCCGCAAACTCAGGACACTGATTTTAGTGTTGCAGGTGTTGACCCAAAATCCATTATCTGTGAAGCCTTTCGTCATGGCCAGTGCACCAAAGGGTTCAAATGCAAATTCTCCCATGACTTGAACGTCGCAAGAAAGGGCCCCAAGATTGATCTGTACACTGACAGACGAGATGATGAGAAAGAAGAGACGATGGAAAACTGGGACCAGGACAAATTGGAGGATGTCGTGCAGAAAAAACATGGGAAGGAGAACAAGGAAAACCAGACGTCCATTATTTGCAAGTATTTTCTGGAAGCTGTGGAAAACAAGCAATATGGATGGTGAGCCTGGCCTGTTGTGTGTGTTGCAGACACTATTGTCCTACTGTGGCGAACACAGTTGCGACCCAGATGTCAATTTGTGCAGTGCCAGGTGGTGTCAACCTTCAATTTTCTGGCAACTTGACAATCAAATGAGTGCTTTCTACATTGGAACAGCACATTCTCTGGGGTGGATCTGTAGTTCTATTTCTGCTGGGATGCTACTGGTATGAATACCTGCCTTACATGTCAACATTTCATGCTTATTTCGCCCAGCATTATTTGTGTGCTTTAAACATTTCTGTGACGAAGTCCATGCCAGGTACCAACACACATTGTCAGGTCCTAGCCACACCCACTGCAAACGCCCTTTGAGCTTGCATGCAGCCGTTAACCGGCTGTGTAGGTTCCAATAGCTGTTACCAAATGCTGAGAACACCATACCCATTCTGCAGCTGATGCTCAGTCTTGGCGGAGACATATGCCACCACGTTGTCACCTTGGAATAGCACAATGAATAGCATGTGCTGCAAAAGGGAGTTGTGCTGATGATCCCACCACGCTGAGCAAAGGTTCTCCTCCAGACACCAGACAGATATGATCCGGAAGAGTTGGGTTCCCACGGTGTGCACTGGAAGCAGGCCACAATATTGTTTGCTTGAAAGCACTGCAGCAACCACACTTCCCAGAAAACTTTGCTTGCTGTGCATTCTTTTGCTGTTCATTGCAGTAAGTGGTTGGATGTCAAGTCAAGACATCGGTCAGACTCTAGTGTTGCAATTATTGTGTCATTCAAACGTCGGTTGGACACATATTCGACAAAAGTGTGATCGGTGGGGTTTTGATAACGCCCTAATGGTGGATTTCTTTTGCACGCCTTTCAAACGTAGGTATGCTCTGTCAGGTTTTGGAAATGCCCGAATGGGGACAAGTGCATTTACCGCCATGCCTTACCCCCTGGTTATATTCTAAAGTCTCAGATGAAGGAACTGCTGGAAGAAGAGGCACGCAAGCAGAGGAAGGACGTATCAGAAGCTATTGAAGAGGAGCGCCAGAGTTTGGCAGCAGGAGAGAACATCACCGAGGAGGTGTGTATGTGTATGGCACTGATCGTGGACAGAAACGTTTTATCTATGCCTGTGTTGTGCTGCATATGTGTGTGATGTGCACCGCTGGGCAGCAGCCTAATCATGACCATGGATTCCTGTTGCTGACTGTTGCTGCCTCTTGTGATATTCCCTATATATATATTCACTATATATTCACTACATATATAGATTCTCCAGGCCAAGAGGGGGCTCTGCAAGCTCCAGTCACCATCACAGCTTGCAGTAAATGTCATAGTTCACTCTGTTGAATGCCCTGCCACCACTGCAACCCTCGAATTGCCCTGGTTCTGCTGGGACCAAATGTAATGCGATCTTCATCCAATCAGGCACCAATCTGCTTTTGAAAATAATAGAAATGAGGTTTGTGAAAAAGGAGTTACTTTAGATGCACATGAGAATAATCGTCAACAGCACTGTCTGCATGACCTGCACATCTGTTGATGCCCCGACTGGAATAGGTTGTTGCTCCATAACATTCGATCGAAATTGTAGTAGGGACGAACCCAGTTACCTTCTACTGAGAACAACAGCGTCTAATGCCCTTATTGTTGTATGCCCAAGGAGCGTTGGTGAGTACGCTGTTGTGATGTGCTTCACAAGCTGAAAAGCAGGTCATACACTGTTTTTATTGTGCGATGTCCATGCCTCACACATACACGATTGCTGCAGACGTTTAGGCAGTGGCGAGCAAAGAAGACACAAGAGCGGAAGTCCAAACAAGAGCAGGCTGAAGCTGAGCGTAAGAAGAAAGGGATACTCAATGGACGTGAGATATTCTCTCAGCAGGGCTTCACAGCTGTGGATGACAGCAGCGCTGCAGAAACTTACGAGCGAGAGAAAGATGAGGAGGATGAGATACTGAAGTGTAGCGCAGATGCAGAGGCCAAATATAAGCTTGCCAAGGAACAAGCAGCAGGTAGGACTCTTCCTCACTGTGCAGTCGGTGGGATGCTGGACACTTGCGATGTTGAACAGATTGTTGAACTGTGTTTCTGTTGCCTTGGTCAGTGATATGCTGTGCCTTTAGCAATCTTTAGTTGAATTGTGCTATGGGCCAAAATTGTATGTCCTCTCCACTGATTGCATCTGCTGTCTCCTTGCACCCAGCTTTGAATCCAATTAGTGTACTAACATGTGCAGTATGCATACCTTGCATGGGGCCATGCAAACTCTTTGCAACAAGCATTATCTTGGTTGATCTGCTTCCTCCACAGCAGTGTGATACTGTCATCGGAACTATCTTGGCATCCCACTTTCTAGCTGCAAAGTGCATTTGCAACTATGTGTACAGTTCAGTCGTTATTGCATCCATGTTGTTGCACATTGTCAATGTGGAAATGTTGTGTGGTTGGTCCATGCAGTTGTGTTACCTATACAATTCCCCCACCCAAGAAGAAAAAGCACGAACCCAACCCAGCCCCAACCTCAACCCCAGAGTGACATGTAAAGAAGCAGGGCAGTATTGGAGGCTGGGTGCTAGAGAATCAAGCCACTATTGTGCATTTATTGAAATTCAATCCATCACATGAGACTTCCCGTGCGTGACTACGCAGCAGAAGGCCCACCGGCTGTGACAGTGGCATATTGCAAGCCAAACTAGCCCATCGCCATCATGGCACAGTGGTGGGGCACCACGTTGGAAGGTTGATTGTGATTGGAGTGATATTTTCAGTTTCTTGTATGTTGGCAAAGTGCAAGGATTGGGAAAGTGCATATATGAAATGAAACATATCACTCCATTGCAAATCTCGAGTACAGCGCATGTCACAATCCATCACATGGCTTTGGATGTTGGCATGCACTGTGCTGCACAACGTGCATGCTAAATGCTTCCTGCCAGCCATAACCGTCTTACATAAGGCGGCCTCATGCAGCACTTGTGACCTAATCTTGGCTGTAAACACCTCATATAATGCTTAGGCCTGTGTGCAAGATATAGTAACGTTGCAGTTCGACCGCACACGTCTACTAGGTGTGGTCGAGTCATATACTGCTTCGAAGGCCCATCGTACAGAACAGCTACACAGTTTACTACAGAAATTGTTCCAACCTAAGAACCAGGGCGCTATTGTGGGCTAGGCTATGTACGTACCACAAATGGTAGTCCATGTTTACTTGGTAGCCAACGTGCAATGTGCGCAGGGAAGGTGCTGACTGCAATGGCTTTTTCGTGCAGCTGCAGGCAGCATGAATACACCAACGTCAGGGGATGCGCCCTCAGAGTCGCAGGCGCCTGCATCAAGCGAGCCCTGCTCATCGACCGCAGCGGGCCCCTCCACCACATTGCAGTTGGACGAGGAGGATGAGCAACTGTTTCTTGAAGGGGACGATGAAGATGATCTGGACGACGACGAATTGGCACAGCTGGAGGAGCAAGTGCGATCTGGGACATAGGCGGATGCTGACATGGCTGGGTTCCAACAGTTGTTTTGTGCCAGTATTTTGGCGCTGCTGCTGTTGAAAATTTTGACCCACACCAGAGCTTGCCACCACCGTTCAGGTCGCCTAAAAACATGCCGTGGGCATGTTTCAATATGCACTTGCGGATGGGTATAGAGCCAGAGATAGAGGGTGCACGCTGCTGGACTGTTGAGCGAGGGTGATTTGTGGTTGCATGCATCGTGGAAACTGGCGATTTGGCTGTCCCCTGGTGCAGTTTGCCATCTGTTAGATGTGGCGAATGGGGTGGTGGTTGATGGGCGTTTCGTGTGTCCACGGAGTTGTGGAGGCAGTGTCGCAGACGCCAGTCTGCGGCAGCTTGTGTCTCCTTGTCTGCCTTGTGTCTGCTCCTTGCCAGCAGTTAATTGGAAAAAGAGACATTACGGCTAGCAAGAAGAACAAACAGCGAAATATGAAAAAAAGTCGACGATTAAATGAGTAGGTGAATTAATGAGGTAATCCACAAGTAAACAGAATGTGCAGGAGAACAAGTACATGTCAGGTGGCTGCCGAGAATCTAAGAAACCAAATTTGCAACCTCAGGGCACCCCGGTGGCCAGGCAACAGCACTGCTTTATCTTTCGACGGGAAAGAAATTTAGACTGGCGGCCGGTGTTGGGGACGAAAATTCCAAGGAAACTGCTGCATTTTATGGCGATTTGCGATTTCGCAGCAGCAGTCAGGTTTGTGACGTTTTCAGCACAGTTTCTTTAGTGACACGTGATGTTGCTCAGCCGGATAGGAGCTGTGGCTTCAAAAAGCAAATTTTCACAGTTATAGCCGGAGAGCTACATACATTGTATTTCTGCCTTACCGATCTCCTGAGCCCATCCTGTCGTGTACTCCCCAATGACAAAACACTTTGTTCGATTACAGTCCATTCTGCTCAAGTAAATGGCCACCACTGTAATCGAGAGAAAACCGTAGAGAAAGGAAAGGTCAATGTGCTCAGCAGAAATCACATTGAACCGCATGACATACGGTTACATTTAGCGGTCATGCAGCTGCTGAATGATCAAGGCAAACGTATGCACACTCAGCTTCTCTCCAGTGCACACGAATTGATGCATTTACAGCTGAGATGTCCTCCATCTCGCTGTTTTGCAATGCCGCTCATCAGAACCGTCCAGAATGAGCAACAATGACGTTAATTGAAGAGCGCTCTACGGGCAGCACGGACGGCTGTGACTGGGCTGTGAACTGGTCAAGGAAAAGGGCGAAAACTAGTCAGCTGGAGCCGCATGCTGACGGGATACAATACAGTTTGACGGTGATGGAATTTGGGTGTACAGAATTGGGTTTAGTATGCGATTATGGTAGATTGTCCAGTACTATTAGCCGGGAAAAAAGAGGCACGGTGTGTGCAGGGCGTGTGGTGATGGACCTGAGTGAGAGGTTGGCCGGTTTGTGAGGGCCTTTTGAGTGACTTTCAGAGGGAAAAAGGGCCAATTCCTGACCCGTTTTGGGGAGACCATGAACCGTAGGGGGTGTCCTTGAATGGACCTGAACTTTTGCAAAAGGTCCTAGGACCTTGATGGGACAGGTACTGGCAGGGTATAGGGGTCCAGTGAGGCGTGATGGGACGTTGGGTGCGGTTGCTAACAGTACTTTGTGGTTTTGCACCTGTACGGGAGACCGCCCTTTTGATATTTCGTGTAATGTACCGTATGTCGGACGTGACCGCGCCCCCCTGCATCTGGTCCCCGCGGGTTGCGCCTGCGCCCCGCCTACGCCTGCTCTGCCCGGTCTGCTCGGCGCGCCGCAACACCCCAGCCTCCCCGACCGTGCAGGGACCGTCGGAAGCCCTCCCTCGCCATGGCCGAAGCATCCCCACGTTCCGCAGGCGGGTCGAACGTGCTCGCATTCGGTGTGGGCGGACCCTCCGGTTCCGCCATGCTCCATGGCGGAGCGGTGCTTTCTCTCCCTCCGGGGATATTTGTGGATCCGTGCACGCAGGGACGAAGGGGCCCGGGTGAGCCTTTGGTCGGCCCGGACGAAGCGAGCAAAGTGGTGCTCGCGTGCCGCAATGGGCTCGGTGGGGCGGAGGCATGGGCCATGGCCTCCGGCCCCGGAACGCCCCACTTGTGGCTCCATTCCGCTTTTGATGCCACGACTCGGTGGCGAGTAAGACACCTGAACGCCAGCTGTTTGCCGTTCACGCCTACTAGGTTGCGGCGATCCCCAACGTCCGGTTGGGCGATCGACTTCGGCGGAGTGTATTCGCCGCGAATTGGCGAGGCGAAGGAGTTTGGAGCACCTCCGAGCGAGATGCTTGGATGGCCGCCGAGCGCGACGGCCCGGACAGCCCGCCCGCGCCGTTCGCGTGGGCTGGAGAAGGGAGTGTGGGCGGCCTCGCCGAGGGAGACGGGGGGCTGCCGGTGGGGATGGTGGAGCGCGCCACCCGGGTGTACTGGAGGGTGGTCGCCGCGTCGCGTTGGAAAGCTTACGTAACAGCTGAGTGGGAGGTGGAGCTGCCAGGCCCGGAAGGAGGCTGGATGATGCAGGGAATTCAATTGAGGGCACGCATGTCGTACATGGGGGAAAGGGAGGTAGAATGGGTTAGGCAGCTTGGGGACAATACCCACTACGGGACTGTGGGGTGTGATGGGTGTACATGGGATGAAAAAGGCATTAGGTGTATTTTTTGTTTGGATAGGGGGATTCCCCCTAATTTGATTTTTCAGGAACCTACTGCCATTAGTTCCTCACAGCGTGAGTGGGAAGAAGATGTAAAGCAGTACATTTTCATGGGAGTACTGCCAAGAGGCGCTGACGGGTGTTGAGTAGTGCTGTAGTGTTCACAAGTGACTTTTTTTATTGTATTGTGTGACCCTTTGGAAAGGGTCAACTTGGAGAAGGTCAATGGGAATTTCTGAGGAGTACTAGGGGTACTGGGGCCTTTTCCTTGATGTGTCTGTTTGTTTATCCAAGGGTCACTGAAGTGTAGTGCCCTTGGAGCTGGCGGGGGTATTTAGGAGGGAGTGTTTGGGGTGTGGGTGCCCCCTCTCCCCTCTCTCTCCGCCCCCCACCCGTCCGTTTTTGGTTCTGGCGGTCTGAACGGCGGGTGCTCTGTTGAAAACGGTCGTGCTGTGAGTGTGTGGAGGTCGAACGTGGTCGAAGGGGAGCAGCTGTGTAACGAGCACTTTCGTTTCCGTGTGCCTTCGCCTCCTGACCCTCCGGGTCAATTGTCCTTGGGGTTGTGCACCGCTGCACATACCCATAGCTCGACGCCGAGCTCGATTCCCATTCCATTGACCGACTGACCCGCGCGCGCCCACGTTGGGCGCTGACTTCGTCGACTCAACGACCCGTCTTCATCGTCCGCTGCTTGACGAGTGAGTGGAGCGCAGCGCTGGACCGTAGGGAACGAGCATCGACAACATCGGTTTGAGACATCTGGAGAATGGTCAGTACGCTCGTCATACTGAGCTACTGAGCGAGGTGTGGAGCATCGTTTCGCAGTTTGAGCGTGTATTTTCGTGCCTCTCGTCGAGCTGGTCAGCAGTTGCATGTTTTTCGTTGTATGTGAACGGCTAAGGTGAACTTGAACACGAAGTTCAGCTCTGGGGTTGCGCCTCGCTTCGGCAGCGCTCGACCACACCCCAAGTATCCTGTTGGGCTTGAATTTACTTGCTGTGGTGATTCTCGTTGTCCTGTGAGTGTTTATGAACTAAGTTGGTAAAAGTGCAGGAGCGGAACGCTCAGAAATGCTGGGCGATTGACAGGGCTGTAATAGTGGCTGTGTCATTAGTGACTTTCGTTGAGCGCATATGGCTGGACGGTGAGCCATATTGCTGTTCCCAAGCGTAGACACCCTCCTGGCGGTGTTTGTCAGCTGTTAGTAACATCATGGCACTCGAACAACTTACAAATTCACCACAATCCAATGTACTGTACCCGATGCCCCCATACGTGAATTCTGCCCCTCGCTTTGCTAGTACTTAACGCCACTCTGATAATAACTCACCCCATGAACCGGCTCCCTAATCCCGTACCTTACTCCCGTCACTGCCTCTCCATCCCACAACTAAACCAGACACCACTCTCTAGGGCGGGAGGCCCGGGTGCGAAACAAGATAAGGAGGGGAACCGAGGGGGAAAGCCTAAATAGCCGCCCCTGCTCAGCCCCACCAAACCCCACCAAAATCCAAGGGCGCCAAGTTTTTCCCATACTTTGACTGACCCGCGGTACTGGGATGGCCAGAAACCAAAGGGACGGGGGCTGAGTAAACCCAAGGCTCAAACGGCACCATCTGAATCGCTGGCGCAGCCCACCCGTCGTCTCCCTTTGCGGAAATCCATCAACAGGATAGATAATTTCATTACTATTCGTTTCCTTTTCATTTTTCTGGGTTCAACTGGCGAATGTGGCGTCGAGCCTTGTGCCACCGTGTAAAAAGCGTTCGGATGACGAATCTTCCAGTCTGGGACCGGTCACGCACCAATCCAAACAATCGCCCAGTCGAGCTGGGCTCGATGGCGAGGATGCGCCTTCGATAGGCGACTTCAGCACGGCATGGTGACCATCCAGCGAGGCACAATCCCCGAAAGACACGCAGAGAAACAACGAAATGGGCCCAAGGTTCGTGTTCGTTGCAAGTTAAGTCGCGCGTCCATGGTAGTCCAAGCGCAGGCTTCCCAACAGGGCACTGTTACCAAGAAAACTCCAATAGGCGGTACCTTGCACATCTCGCACACACGTTCCCGTTGAGTGCCACGGTACCGCAGCCCCGGTGGTAACGTTTCCACGAGCCGAAGTATACACTCCGTACCGTCACTTCGACTACCACCGTTTCCCTTAGCACTATATGCCCGCGGGTGCGGGTAACCGCGTCCCGTACTTGGCAGGTCCCAACATACCATAATCTGTTACATAATGGGTACACCCTAGATTCGTTACCCCCCAAGCACAGTACCAAACAGGTATGTCCTCGTGCCAAGACGGCCCTCCGCGCCACTCGGGTTCCAATACTCAAGCGATTCAGCCCCTACAACAAAGGTCCCCGCGGTTTCCCTCGTCATTACCCGTCGCCGCTGAACCCATTACCCTATCATGCTAAGTCCTGCGCCGGCGCGCCATGTCAGGGTAGCCGCCGGCGCCGCCCTGGGTAGCCATGGATGCCCTGTGGTAACGTCCATTACCACCATTGTAACCGTCGCTGCCACTACAGGTAAACTACAGGTCGTCAGGATAACCGTCGTCGCCTCGAGGTAGCGGCCAAGTTCCGGGCGTCACGGCACCTCTCTCCTCATGTAGACCATCAAAAAGGGGCACAAATGGTCATCGAAAAGGTGTACGGCCGCTCATCACACTTCATTGTCAGGAACAATCCTCATGGACTAACCCGAGGGCCATGGTACATCGCCTGGTCATCCTCAAGGCTACGGCACATCATGTAGTCATCTTCAGGGCAACGGCACATCATCTGGTCGTCTTCAAGGCTACAGCACGTCTTCACAAGTGGCAGTTCATCATCATCAATCGTCCGGCACGTCTCTCACGGATCCACCACATCAGTGTCACTCACGCCTGGGCATCACACGTCTTCCCACGCCAACGTTCATCTACTACACATACAACTACCGTACTTGTAAAGATTCAAAGACTATAATTAGACCATACTGAAATATTATTGAGAAAGGCACCAACTTTCACGGGGGTACTTCGCAATGCGCCACACGAACAGCACGTTCCGTTTCTGTTGGCGATGACCTCTTCATGGCCAGGCCAACACAGTCACATTGCTCTATCTTTCATGTCCGTCACCACCCAAAGGCCATGAGCTGAATCGCAGTTTGCCCATTCACGCAGGCTTGTGGTACTTACGCCACAAAAGTTGATCGTGTTTGCGCTTTTACCCTCAAAAATATTTCTTGCATTTTTATGCATAAACAGACATTAAAAATAGGTAAGTATAGACGTAAATGCGCGCCTGTGTACATAAAGACAATACATACAGACTAAGGGAGTACAGGGAGTGGCAGCCAGATGCACCGGACTGGACACAAACAAACTCTTGGCCTACTAAGTCGTTGCCTTGGGCAAGATGAATGCCAGGTTGCAGGTGCTCGAGGGGGGGGGAGACTGACCATTGTACGCAGCTTCATGTAACCCTGGTGTCCCAACGAGAGGCGAAAATACGTGAAAACAGCCACAAAAATACCTTCTCTAAGTTTACCTGTTAACACGTAAAAGCACAACGTAAAACGTAGAACCAAAGCCTGCACACAGGCCACCAGCATGGGCTGGCAGGGAAATACAGTCCAGGCGGAGGCCACGACAGGACGTTTGCCCACCCAAATATGAAAGAGCCAGTCTCGATTACTACTTTCACGTTCCCTGCCAGTGCGGCCCAAGAGAGACCGGGAGCTATTGTGTCATGCACATGAGGCTGCTTGGCAAGGGAAAACGCACCCTTTTCAGGTGGCTTTCAGTGTCCTCCTACCACTCACGACAGGAGCCAAACCATGCCTTTGGCCCGTGCAAGGGAAGTAAAGTCGTTAAGTATGGTTGTTGAGGCGGACATTTCCGTTATTGCTTGCCCTGAAGTCAAGCGGGGAGGGGTGCTGCGCTGCCGGGTGGCTCCACTTCGCCGCGGGAGGCTGCAGTACATCTGTTGGGCAGGTACATAGGCACCGCGAAAGAATTGGCGCTTGATTGCTTTGACCTAGTTTGCTCTGCAGACCAAGGGTGTGAGCCATCTGTGCGAAAGAGGGCCCTCAGTATACTTTGGGATGTTGCGGCCTCCAGGATTTGCTATGTGCACATCCTGCACTGGACAGGAGATATCGTGCCATGTTCCCCAGGTTCTAAGCTCTGTCTTGTGGGTCTAGACTCAGAACACACAGTTCGGAGCATAGTGGCCAGCGTGTTTGGAACATTGTGGTTTGGTGACGTGGCCGCTACACACGGTTACGATGGCGCTGCCAGGCTAGTGCGCAGCAGCCGTTCAACGTTGGAACTATACGACTGTTATAGCCCACGGATACTCCAGCCCCTGTAACATCACACCCCCTAAATCGTTCCTCTGAAGAGTGCCCTTACCTCTGACGATAGTAAACTGGAGTGGAACATGGCCTGTGACATTGAGATTCGAGAAATAGCTACAAACGTCAGCGGTGGCAGCACCAGACTTTGCGTAAATTCGGGAGCAGAAAGCGAGTTGTGTCGTCGCGAAACTTGCAGGCCAGTGACAAAAGGCAGCGCTCCCCCCGCTTCCGCAAATGGAACTTGATCCCAATGGTGACCCTTTTCTTTACGCAGTGGGGTTCGATGGGGAACAGATGCGAATGCGCTCGCGACTGGCCTTCCTCGCCCCGCTACCCATAGTTCCAATATAGTTCCCTGTGTCAAAATGCGCACGTTGATGGACTGCCATCCCTCCAGAGAGTGGATCTTCATCTCAACATCGGGTGCAGTGCCCTAGGAGTAAAAGGGCCAAATAACGCGTGTTGAAACGTGTGCAAAGTTTACGGGTTTGGGTTATTTTTGTGTTCTTAAACGCGCAGAAATCTCATGAAATGCTTTTGTGTGCGTTCGCAAATGCGTTATTTGGTCCGTTTTTCGCCAGTGGTGGGAAACGTGTCCCAGAAGGCTTCTGCCGCACGCGTGGTGCCCAATGTTGGTGGCAAAAACATGTGGCTCGGGGCGCACAAGAAATGTACCAATCCGGTTTATACAACATCTAAATCTACCCCGGTGCAATTGCCTCTGCTACTCTCAAACCTCCGCCTAACTACAGCGGCTCCGTCGCAGCCGAAATTAGGGAAACCTGTCTGCCGCCCTGGCGAAAAAACAAGCCGACTGAATAGAAGCCCCTGGGTGCCCTGCCTGTATGGTGACTGCTGCGATGAAGAAAATGCAGCGCACACGATCTAAAAATCTTTGAAGACGCCGGTGGACACGTATCGCTTGGGCTGCTGCGTCGCTGGGTGGGTGTTGGCATCCGCCGGCGTCATGAAATTGCTGGCGTCTCCCGGACCACTGACCTGCAGTGTGTGGGCAGGAGCGAAGTCGTCAAAATCCGAGAGATGTTGTTCACCGGGCAAAGGGAGCCCAGGGAAAATCCAGCCCGGTAAACCGAATCTACGGTCCGCGGTGGCCTGCATCCGGCTTGTCGTTTGTGTTCGTGGCAACGTCACAAATGTGTTTGAAATTGCTGCTGGACATATTTTGCTCATGTTCTGGTCGGATACGCAATGCACAGTGCGCCCGGGGCCACATGCCTTTGCAGAAGGAGACGATCTGGTGGAAAGTGCGAAACTATTCCACAAAAATGAGAGCGCATTCGCGCCTGTTCTGCTGCCTTAAGGCCAAAGCTTTGGTTTTCAATGACCTGACCCAACGCTACCAAAATGGGCACCAACCAAAACGACAACATGTATGACATGAGAAAAAGGGTAAACGTCTTTTTGCATTCATGTGCGGATAATACCACAAGCGAAGCAGCTCTACAGAGCAAGAACAGGTTTTTGCTGCTTGACATGAGTGTAATTAGGTCCATTGTCAAATGGAGATGTTGGCAAGTCCGAAGGCTTCAGACAATCGTATCGTTGCTAGTGATTCCAATGCGCCGTATCCAATCCGTCTATTGCGGTTTGGAGATTGTGAAATGCTGTTATCAACCTGTTGGCAATGCAATGGCTCATGAATTCCCAATATCGATGCGTTGAGCGCGCTGCGCCTTCTCCACTTTCACTATCGCAAATATTTCAGTCCGAGATCAAATGTCTGGATTTGCTTGGGAGTTTATTTGTGCCACTGAATTGATATTTCTTCTCGAAAATACGACCAGAGCGCCCCTTAGAAAGGCACTGAATGCCCTCAAACTTTTTCTGCGAAAGGGTAAAGTACCTTAAATAGCAATACCTTCCAGTGGCGTGCGCACACGTTTTCCCCCTCTCCCCATGCATCAAATCTGTCGCCCAGATAATTGTCGCGGTGTTGCTTCTCCACTGCTAGAAAACTCATATTGACCAATCAGCTACTGCACGTCTGCTGTGAGGGCAAATGTCTGGAGCGTGCTTTACCTTGGGAACGTAGGGAGGTTGGACCTGCTGGCGTTCAAAAGCTGGCCAGTTGAACCCTCGGAACCATGGGTGCGACTTGACGTCGGCGGCTCCATTTTTTTGCGCTCCCAGTCGCATGGCAGGCTTTCTCACAAGGAGGCGTCTGATTAAGTCCTTGAGCTCCTGAAAAAGGAAATGGAATTAGCACATTATTGGCAACTATAATAATTGGCAACTATAAGCTTACAGTCCAGAAGCCTCTGATGGTAAGCTAAGTGACCCCGCTACGTTGATTCTGCTGTGTTTGGCATCAAACTGACGCTGGACAAGGAGGGGGGCAGTACAGCAATTTGATGTTGGGGATTTGCATGTGCAGAAAAATCATCATATGCTAAGAAGAGGCCCGAACCGCCGCCGTTCAGAGAATTGAAAGTCGCTACTTGCTCGACAGCCTCCCTCAAGCATAACACTTTCACGGAGGCTTCAAAAATGTGTCAAGTGTCCGCCTACATTGCCCCAAATATCTCATTTTCCAGACTTCATAGTCGCTTCAGGGTGGCTTTTGCCTTGCGTGAAAATTTCTTCGCCTTTCTCACAACGCACCAACGCTATCTCTTCTGAGAAGTGTTGTGTTGCGCTGTCAGGTAATGTTGCCAAGTCATGTCGGCATCGACGTTAGGATTGACGCTACGGGAAGTGGAGACATGATGTGCCAGACAGCAGTTACAAGTCACACAGAGAGAGCACCCACCCAAACATGTGTTTTTGAGACTGTGTTTGTATTTGGAAAGATGATTTAAAGCTTCGTTGTCCAAGAGGTGAGCACACAACATTAGCGTCACCGACGACACGAAAGTATAAACGCGGACGCTGAGCATAGCGTCAATTTGACTGCAAGCGTACCAAAATCAGCATGATGCTCACATGAAGTCATTCTGCAGTGGGCAGATATTTTGATTCTCATTTCCTCTATTGTTTGCAATGCATCATCAAGCGGGTACATGTGAATGTCCAAATCTGCTACCTCCGCCTCAGGAACCGTTGGTCGGGAATCTCCCCGGTCTGTAAATGAAGTAATGTAGGGTGCAGACTTCCAGGCCATTGCGTTGGCTCCTGTAATGGCAAATTGAATGCACACAGTGGTGCATAGAAATTGAAGGGCGCATCCCCGGTGCAGCGCCGGGTGGCAATAGTGCGCCGTGCGCATTATCTTGCAGACGAGGAACTCAGCATCAGCAGGAGAATTCTGCTGTCGATACCCAATTCAGCACATATCTAACTTGCGGTTTCATTCCTCTCGAGATACACGAAGCTTCCATGCATCCGATGAGGCACTTGCCTCGGAGAAGTTTGGCGGAGGTGAGTATTTTACATCGCAGATCTTCTTGAACATCTTTACGCGATCATCATCATAGAAAGGTGGACGCCCAGTGACCAACTCAAATATGAGTACGCCCACAGCCCACCTGTCACATGCAGGAAACAACAAAGTGAGGAAGTCCTCCGCAGGACGATACGTGCAATAAAGTAGTTCAAGAACCATCTGCAGCTAATAGTAATCGATTTGAGGGCGCACTGGTCCCAAAGGGAGATGGTGCAATGAAATGCGCCTAAACTTGTCGCAAGTGGGCTACGGGAACAAGCTATGCTAACAGCTCGTGAGAGTTTCGGAAAGGAGCTTTTATAGGTCGTTCTGCCTGAACCGCACATCCCCTTATACACGCAGCAGTGCTCGCGTGGCGATTTTGCTCACCAGTCAGCTGCATGATTGTGGCCAGTCTGTGTCACCAGTTCTGGCGCCAAATACTCTGGAGTCCCACAAAGGGTGTATGTCTTTCCCCCACTAGCCATCTTCTTTGCGAAGCCGAAGTCGGTGACTTTGAGGTAACCGTCGACGTTGATGAGGAGGTTCTCGGGCTTCAGGTCACGGTAAACCACATGGCTTTCTTGCAAGTACTCAAATGCTTGAATAACGCAGGCCGCGTAAAACCTGGCGTGGCTCTCGCTCAGCGGCCTCCTTCTTTTCTGAGACAGAAAGTTCTCGATTTTCACATTCTTCAAATTGCATGAAACGTGTCACACCAATTCTGCGATTCTACCGCTCATGCGGCTATTTTGACGAGAAATGCACCTCGCTGTCTGAATGAACACAGCGCGTTCTCGCGCATTAACCTTTGGCGACATTGCAACAATGTGGCTCGGATGCATTAAGCAGACACTGCTGGATGCTTTGCGCCCGTTGTCTACTGCAAGCGCAACGGCTGCGTTTGTGACATATGTGTGACGTCATTGAAAATGCGATCCATGCAACTGCAACCAGCCATTGGTTGCGGCGACGTAGGGAATTTGTGTTACTAAAATGCGCCATACATTATCGAAGCTTTTGGCTGGCATCGCCGTGACTGCGCCGCCGTAGCTGCTGAGACTCCATTCGACTAAGCCGCACAATGCCCCCTAGGAAACATCTGGCAATCAGACGCTGCATTAGTGAAGGTGATGAACGTGATCATATTTTGACGACACATACTGTACAAAGCTGAGCAGCAATACCTGAGAAACACGCGCACAGCGTGTTGTTCCTTCACCCCACCTGAAGGTATGTGAAAAGCTCTCCTCCCATGATGGCCTCCATGAGCATGTAGATGGTGTAATTGTCCTTGAACGTCGCCAGAAGATTCACGATGAAGGGGCACTGCAACTCCAGCATGACATCCCTTTCTCTCTTGACATGATCCTGTAAGCCAGACTCCATTACGTACGCCTTGCTCATGCATTTCAGAGCGTAGTACTTGCCGCCATGGGACACCAGCAACACGCGGCCAAACCCTCCCGTACCAAGGACCCCGTGCCTCTTCAAATCTTCAAGCTTCACCTGCAACAGATGCGAAGGTCAGCATTGGGTGGCTCCAACAGACTGAAGGATCCATAGATCGGTGTGTTTCAAATGATTGTAACAGCGCAGTGCCTTTGGTCGCAGTGCGGTCATTTGGTGCTTTCGTATCGTATATACGAATCGACAGACAATTTCGTGATATGCGCACGCCCATGTCTGTTTTCTCGTATCACGCACAACAAACTTGCCAGGCGGCGACTTCCCGTGCTCCATTTGCGCAAGCAACTGAAAGTTCATACATGGCTTTGGCTTACTTGCGACCCAAGTTTGTTGCCCGTGACCGCGTCGTACGCTGATGCCTGGCTCTGCATGATTTGCTGCAGAGGTCCAAGGAGTTCATCGAATCCGGCCCTGTTCAGCGAGAGGACGGTCACGTTTGTGAGGCAGACCACTGAAGCGGCGCGCCTGTCGTTCCTCAGCAAGGCCAGCTCCCCAAAGTATGAGGTGGGGCCAAGTTTGACGAGCGGCATCTCGCTGCCGTCCTTGAATACTCCAACGATTCCAGACTCTACTATATAGAACCTGTCACCTTGCTCCCCCTGCGCACCAGTTATGCACGTTTCACAACAGAGCAACCATTGGCCATTCCACCTGATGTGCTGGATCTTAGTGCACAAGAGCTGGCAAATTATTTTTTGCACAAGAATCATACGCACCGTGATCGAATGTGAATGGGTCTCGACTAGACCGTCTGGTGGTTGTTTATCGTTCAAATAGAGGTTTAATCCCTTCCGCGTCCAGTGTAAATGAAATATAGCCAAAGTCGACGTGCAAATCGAAAAACCAGAAAAGACCAAATCGATCATTGGCCCATTCTAGCCATATGGAGTACAAAAGTCTGATATCCGTCATCTCCATGTGTGAAAGACAGAAAGAACGCGAGGGCATCTCATCCTAAGACCCCTAAACAATTAACCGCAACGACAAAAACTAAGAAGCGAAACCTGAGACTTGAAAATATAGAGATGAAATACCCATATGACGTCCATGACCTTCATATTCGGAAATGTAGGGTGATCGACATTTGTGTTCCATATGGCTGGACCAGGTCGAACCTTTCTCCCATTGTGAATCGCTCCACTAATATGTGTACCGTACAGTGCCGCTTCCTCAGGCAGAAATGCTCGTTCAGTCTGCCATGACTCGATCAGCACCAGTGCGCGAACACGCACAAGTGCATTGGACCGCGGCATTGTGTTTTTCCTTGATTCCGGCTTGGAAACGTTGCTGACTTGTTTCGAGCCCCAATTAAAGAGGATGTTTCTGCTGTGTCGCTACAACTCTGGGGACACACCACGCACGGGCGCTCAAGCGTTTTCATCCGCCCAGCCCATTTCTGCCCACCAACCTGCTTTACAATACGCTTCCCAGCCTTGAACGACTCCTGCTTGAACGCCGAGCATAATGAGGACCTCTGAGCGGGCGTGAGCTGCGCCAATATAGGCACTCTCCTCAGCGCCTCGAACCGCCAAACGTGCTGGATTTGACCCAAGCTCCCCAGCATGGCATTGAAGACGTCCCGATGCAGTAGGAGGCACTGAGCAGGCATTAAATTCATTGCGGCCTCAGCGACCGGCTCGACACCGAAGCTCGTGTTTGATGATGTCAGCATGTAAGGTGGCGCTCACCAGAGAGTGCGTGTTGGCAAAGGGCGAACAATGCGCCGCTCATTGCTCCCGATATGGCTTCTTCGTGAATGCGGTGGAGCGACGCATATTGATTTGTTTCGATATGCACCGGCAGCCTGTGCATCAACAGTTTGCTTTTCACGGCAAGCTGTTTCAAGTCAGTACGTCGTTCTAGGAAGTACGCACTGAGTGGTGCAAAAACTCTATTTGATGAGTTCATGTGTATGATGTTACTCCAGAAGACCGAAATCTGAGCGAAGAATCCCTGCATATCTCCTAAATTTTATTACACCAAATGCGGTGGGTAATTTACTTCTGCAAAATTCCTTAGCATGGGTGCTTGGCGAACAAATGTCTGGTGGCCGTGCGCAGTAACCTGTCAAGTTCTTCGTACGAAATGCGAAATCGTATAGAGGTACAAATTGCACAGATACGTTGAGCGTCCCTGGATTACTCCAGTTCAATGCAGCTGCGTTGATATCCATTCACCAGCCTGCCTACCGAAAACAATGAAAACAAGATGCTGGCGCCGCTGTGTCGATGTCATAGGCATGCAACCAATGACTGCTTTATGCCCCTGGCAATAGTCACACGTACGCACCCGTCGCATGTTCATGTTGTGCATTTGCATACCTGTGCGTCATGTGTTGCTCACTACGCTGTGCACACAGATTCTTTAACAGATTACGGCGCCTTAAAAGCCACGGGAACCGTTGAAATTAGACTTGGCTGCACTGCGACCGTGTTGCTGCTCCAAACAACACGGTAAAGAAGAAATGTAACTCCTGTGGGCTTGTCGCACAGTATTGCAGTGAGCGACTGGATGCAGTATGCATGCATTCCAACAGCTCCCCAGTCACAAACGACCTCAGCTTATGCACCTGCGCACGTATACCTTGGAATCGGCGATGGCAGCTACATTGGCAGCTCGAACGTCTTGCCTCAGTAAAGCAAGCTCTCCGAAACAAGAACCCTTCCCGACTCTCGCCAGCTCAGTTCTGTTCTCTTCACGAAACAACGATACAGAAAAAAATATAAGCCCATATACGGTCACATACTGTAGGAGGTGAGGAATTGAAACGGCATTAATGGCAATCGCTGCAACAGTTTGTTGACGCACTGCTACCTTTGCTTTATTGCGGCGATTACCCTGCGCCAACATCTTTGGGAGCAACAGTGGCAATGCCTTGGTGTGCTTACCAATTAATGGAATGTCAGAGCTTGCGACGTGGCTTGTTGACATGAATGGCACCAATGGAAGTAATGCCGATATGTCGTTGACGCGCGAGGCTTAGCGAAACAGTGAATTGCAGTTTATTGTCAATATTTTTGCAGCAATGGCTGCCAATGTTGCGCCAATAACATTCAGATTTTCGGATGCATGCATCTGAAGCAGCTGTATGTACATCTCATCTTCCAGTCATTTTGATCTCCCGTATGACCCATGCATTGCTGAACCCGAGGGGCAGCGTATCCAGTTGGCAAACACAACGCCAATCACTGAACGCTTAGACCTCATGTCCCTGATTTGTAATTTCTGGATCTTGCCAATGATTTGGACACGCTTAGCGGCGGCTGGCATCACTTTTCAGTCCACCAGCTGATAAAGCTTCTGACCCCGAAACGTGTGAGCCCCAAAGGATCCACATGCGTCAACAAGCCTACCGTCAAAAATGGAGAAAAGCCCGTCCTCAATCACATAGAACGTATCTCCAACTTCTCCTTTCTTGAGGACCAGCTCGCCCTCCTTGAATTGTGCTGGTTGCATATGCTGCGCCAGCGTCCAAACTTGCCTGTCGCTGAGACTGAACAAAAGAGGCACCTAAAGGTACACAAAGGACACCAAAAAAGGGAGTGTGCACCGAATATATCCCAAACAATCCCATAACAGTCTGAGGCGTCGCATGCAGCCTTCCGTTCCGACCTACCTGTATACACGAGTGTCTGTAAAGGAACATGAACATCCTAATGTTAAATTCATTCGTTCATCATCTTTGAGACAATGTACGTCTTGTGGTAACAAAGGTATGTGGAAATACAGCATCAAAATTCTAATATAAAAATGCAAGAGCGTCTAAAACAAACTCAAATGAATCCTTCACAGATATTAGTATGGCATCCAGTTGATAGAGTGATTTTGATCAACGAGCTGGTCAATTTTGCCGTTGTTGAATTTTTTGCTGGCGTGCTGTACCTTTTTCAGGACTTCATACCTCCACAACACATCGATCGGGCCAAGCAAATTGTTGAAATTTGGTCTGCTGAGTGTGTAGCAAACAACATATTCTTGAGCCACAACGGTAGCGGCCCTCCTGTCGTCCTGTATGAGAGCCCTCTCTCCGAAATAGTCACCGGGACCCAGTTTGTCGATCACATTTCCCTTCTTCGTAACGTTCACATTCCCTTCCCGAATTATATAGAATTTATCTCCAATTTCTTGCTCGTTCAGTATGCGTTGATCGTGTTCAAAGTCCACCTGAATAGGAACAGACGAAGGCTTTGCCTCAACCATACATTCGCGTGTACTTCAAGTATCCAGGTTTTAGACAAACGAAATGTGTTGGTGTTCAAGCAAGCAGACATGCCGCCAAGTTTGTGTGCTTAGACTGCTATCCAGTTTTCCAGATACTGCGACAGAAATTCCCATCGGGAAGCGATCGCGTTCATCCCGGCGGCGGAGCGCAGATGTCTCGGCGACTGCAGAGGCTTCCGAAACAAGACGTTCGCATGTCAATTCTCAGTGATAAGTCCGTTTTGTATGTGGAATGCATGCACGAAATTCGCACCATTTCCAAAGCTTCCGCCAGTATGGCTTTATGATCTTCAGAGAGCATCTGAAGGAGGGGCACCTTTTCCACCAGTTGCTGCCTTTGCTGTATCATCTGCCGATCGAAGTTGCGCTTGACCGCCGTGTATACTGCCCTCTCCATAACCCAAAGCTTGCAGGCCACGACGGCCTTGACGGTGGCTGCGCGAGGGGCGCTGTACATCAGAGCCAGTTCTCCAAACCCGCTGCAGCACATGCACAAGCTTTCAGCGTCTGCTTTCCGCATCATCAAATAGTTACAATGCCAATGGTGCAATCTAGAGCCACCTGGACTTTGGAACCTGCCCTCTTTGGCAATATCGATGAACGTAGAGAAAACGCAGCCGAGAGCGCGTCGCTGGCACACAGATCCCATGTCGCACCATTGACCTGCGTTTTCTTGGTATGGATTGCCGAATACCGCAACGAAACTGCGCTCTGCGCCATATCAATGCAAAATCGTGTGGCATCAGCCAAATTTGGCGGCCCTTGTTAGCAGCGCTGGCGGCACACTTTCCAGAACCTTCACCTGCCGGGATGATATGTGTGAACGAGCTTTTCCTTGTCCCAAGCTTCGTTGAAGAGGTACACCTCACATTTGCCACTCTCCAGCACGTAAAATTTTGTCGCATCTACTTCTCCCTGCCACATGCGGATTTAATCAAACCTGCTTGATGTTTTACCTCGATTCAAGAAGTGCTCTGCATTCAAATATCAGGGGAAATTCTGTCTCTGAATAGAATACGACGTAGCGGAGCCGGCTGTACATGTCAGATCGAGTCTAGGAGGTCACCCACGGGGTTAGCCTCACTTCCGCCACACAATTTGTCCCTAACAACTTCTCTGTGAACCTGGTTTGTGCTCGGTTTTAATGATTGGGCGGGAAAGTTGCGGTCTAGTCCACCGAAATCTACCATGAAGATAGTGGCAGGAAGTTTGGCTTGCAGATGTCCCAAACACATCCATTTCGCATCTGTGGCTGAGCGAAGCCTGAAAGTGCAAGCATGCTGTGTTAGCTCTGCTTGGCCACATTGCGCAGCGGCAACCAGACAGGTCTAGCGCCGTATCACCGCCTCAACAGTGCCGACATGTCTGCAGCGCATGGACAACGCAGCATGGCTTCAATTGCCCCATTTTCCCGTCAAGATTACCACTGCGCTGAGACTTGTTCAAGCTCTACCTGCCTAATGATGGTGGTTGACGCTGACACTGACAGCGCAGTCATGCTGTTGATGATGGCCGCTCTTGCCGGAATGGACAATGTGTCGAAGAGCAGATTCCCGTTCACTGCCTTTTCTGCAAACACCAAATCCGCGCCCAATAGCATGTCGTTAGGCAATTCAAGCCCGTAAATCCAATATGAGCGGATGTTTGCAAACAAGGAGTGGTTTCGCGTGACAACGTACTCACTGCACCGCGAAATGCGGTCTTTGAACTGAAGCAATGCAGCCCGAGAGGCGCCAGAGAGCCGCAGCTCCACACGGGCCGCTTCAAATTTCACGCAACGTGCACCCATACCTATGAGCTTAGCTGAATGATCCGACTTCGGAACATTGGGAATGTCAACATCGGCGTTGTCTGTCAGAGCTTCCGCCGCCACCGCAATCCTCTTTCGCATCATCCATTGGGGCTGAGAATCGCTTTTGCCAGTGGCAGACGGAATTTCCACTTTTGGCGAAATCGCCTTCGAAGGAGAGCTCCCATTCTGCAATGAAAGTGCACGGTCAAGGTGAAAAGCAGGCAACACAAACCGGAGCCAACCAGTCACGTTAGTCCCCCCTTTCTTTGCATCTACTTGCAAGCAAACGCGCGTCAGCAGCATGCAGACACGTAGTTTCGGGGTCTCGTTGCCGTGCGCGAGTTAAACAACACAACGATACGGCTGACAGCGCGAGGCAGGGACAAACATGTTTCCCGTATGAATGCAGTACAGGGGTGTGCGTCAAAGCGCTGTCACCACAGTATCGCTACCCTCAAGAATGGGTAGATTCTCGACCATTTTCGCCAAATGATTGTCGCACTTGCCAACAAGATCACAGGCTTCCACGCTGTGGCAAGCTAGGCACCAGACATAGCAAATTGAGCATTGTTGAAAGCTAGGCACCAGGAAATCAATCAACGCGGAATTCAAGGCTGATCTACAATGTCGGCAGTTTAAGCGCTCTTCATTGATTTACATGCAAGGGCGTCGTAATTTGGTACAAAGAGACAAACTTCCAGTATACTCTGCCGTATTTTCTGCAGTGACGGTCGCCGCTTATATTGATCCTTCAAACTTAATGCACTGTTCATAACTGTGCTGAACAAAACGGTCTTGACAGTACCTGGAGGCCAGCGCAGATGCACAACGGAAATTGTTCATTGCTGTGTCGACTGAATTTTCAATTGGGAAGAACCGGCTTTCCGCACCGCCATATTTTGCTGCGATGAATCAGGGAATGCTCGTGGGCTGCTCAAAGTGCATGCGACTTTTGTAGGCATTTGTTCCACGCAATGAGGGGCTGCACTCGACAGCCGTGGAGCAGAAGGAACAACACATATGCAGGAGCTCTTGGGGAGTGCTGCGCCGTCAACACGACAATTTTTGCGCCGCAGGGGCCCGTCAGTCCTAACCGAAACGACAGCCACGCCGACACCACCTTTGTCGCTACCTTCGCGGTGGCCTTTTGGATGGTGTTGGCCTCTTGCTTTGGGGCTGCAGACTCCTCCGACTTGCTGCAGATCCCTCCCATCTGCGCCCCGCCTGTCGCGTCGCATGCGCTCGAGCTGGCACTGCACGCTGTCCAGGCACCCTTCCAAGACGCCCTTTCCCCGGCTCAAAGGACTCTGGCGCGTCAAAATGCCGGTCATCAGCGCGGAGCCAATCCGGGAGCCAGACGACCAGGAGCACGACATTGTTTGCGGCCCCGCTGGGCGGTGGCGCTCCGCCCGGCGGCAAGCACACCGTGCGTTGCCGTCTTCAAGCAGCGTATGTGCGCCAAATGCAATAATGACGTTTCTGTCTGTGTGGGTGTGTGCCACTCTGCAAAATACCTACCGCTAGCTTTGCTGCGACTGTGACTGCGCTCGGTTCCCCCAAGCTTCCCCCTGTGGACGTTCTGCGGGGCGGTGGCTGTGCGAAGCTGCGACTTGCGCCATCCGAATCAGCACGTGCCGCGCGCCTTCCGTGTGTGGCCGCGCCTGGCGGGACAGTGGCTGTGCAGGGACCCTGGCTGCTTGGTGCACAGCAATGTGTATTGAGTGTGATGGCCCCCATGTCAACAATTCCTCCCACCTCTGCCTTGGGAGGAGTCACGTGCTCACGGGAATGGGGCTGTCACCATTGGCACCTCCAACGTTCAACGGAGGCATGTACACACATCTATATATTCACATGTCCAGGGATGGCTGCCGTTGGTTCTCTCCCTCGCATGGGAAAGCGAACTCCAATTTCTGAATTGTTGTCCGGACTTCAAGCATGGGCGCATTTTGAGAGCAATTCTGCCCAGGTATACAACGACTGCCATGACCAGTGCCTGTAATAGTACCAGTATTAGTAGTCGCTGGGCTGACCCATCGAGTGCGTAAGGGCCCCTCCCAAACATCATTGGCTGGCCTTCGGGGGATTTAGTCAGGCACAACCGGGCAGAGAAATGCAGGCCCAGGAGAAAAGCTGAGAAATGCTTGTACCGGACGAAGATTGAAGACATGCCCTGGAATACTTCAGAGGGACGGGGCACAAGCCGCGCTGCATGTCTTTTCGGGGCAGGTGTTTGATGGTCTGCAAGGACGGCGTTGCCTTGCCTGGGAAAGCTGGTCCAGAGCACTTGCTTGGCTGTGGCAAGATGGGAGAGTCTGACAACGGGTTGAAGAAGAGCACAGCAAACAGCTTATAGGTGCCTCTAGATACCAGGCTCCAGCGAGTTGTCCATCGCAACAGTGTGCCTGTCGATTTGTGGGGCTCGTTTGCCTCCAAGAACAAAGCCCGACATAATGCTCAAGGTGCGGGGCTGTCATGTCTTCTCCGCAAACATGAAGATGGAGTCAAGCACCCGGGGTCCCACTTCGCCTCTCGTGCATTCCCAATACAGAGTGTAGTGCACCTCATGGCAACAGCACAATGGCAGGTGCACCTTTGCATGTGGAAAGGGACTGTGCCAACAATGGCGAGGAGACAAAATAGCAGCACATTGGCCACAAGCAAGAATATGGGGAACAACACGTGGTGTGGAATCCACAATCCAACATGCATTTAGAATCCTGAGTTGACCTTTGGGCCCTCGCACGTCAACCCCTGGCCCTGGACCAAAGGAGGGCCAGCAACGCAGGAAACACAGGAACACGAAACACAGGAGCACAGGAAAGCCGTAATGCCAAATCTACATCAGCCTTAGTACAATAGTTCACATGACATCCTACGCTACACTTACAGAACACATGCCGCCTTGCCACCAGTCTTACGCCCCATGCTTTATCACCCACTAAAGGAATTCAACACTCAAACACAAAACTGAACACCCACACCGCCAATGGAGAAAGTGTGTGTCCGGCCATCAGCTGTCCAGCTGCTGGCATCCAGTCTGTAGCATGTGGGCCCTACACTGTTAGCTTGGCAGCTGGTGCATCAAGTTAGAAGTTAAATTGGCCTGTTTGCGCCTGCTGTCCCAAATTGGCACCGCCAAGAAGGTTGGTGCCATTTGGCTGGCCCATTGGAACATGGCTTAAATTGTTAATGGCTGAATTCAACAAGCCCATGCTGGTTTGCTGGCCACCAGACAAACCCATGCTGCCCACGACGCCCATGAGACCATCTGTGCCAAGGGTCAGGGCTGGCGTGCCACCATTCAGGCCAATAGCTCCCCCTGTTGCACCATTCAGGCTGCTGGCCCAGGCCAGGCCGTTGACTTGGCTGCTGCCATTACCAGCGCCAAGTGTCCCGATCTGTTGACCTACTTGAGGGCCGCCCATTGTCACAGTACCCAGTATATTATTACCATTGATGTTGCCAGTCACGCCTGCAATAGTGTTGGTCATGCCTCTCTGCAGTCCAGTCCCAGCAGCCCCTCCCATAGCCACACCTGTCATCATAGCTGGCAACCCCACCCCAGCAGCCCCTAGCCCAATACCCTGCATCAATGGCAGACATCAGGACTCAATTCAAAGTGTGCACAGCCCGCTGAGGCTCACCAGCAGGATGCTCAGCAACTTCATAGGTTAACAGCACCCTGTTATGTACCAGTAAAAACAGCCAGTTTGCTGAAAAAAACCTTGAGTGCCAGTGCCTCTTAGCAATGTGTAGCTAGATCCTCCAGCAGCATGATGGGAATGATGACGGTGTGCATTGTTTGTGGACTGCAGGTTTATGGAACATCAACAAGGACACCAACAACAGGATATGCAGATTCATGTTTTTCTCCTCACATATCCATCACACGGGGAGCGTTCACTGTCATTAACAAATAGTCCGGCCAATGCACAAAGGTGTGTACACATGTGGGGGGTGTTTGCACACAAATTTACAATCGCATCCCCAGCACCAACATCGTAAACTGGCTGGAATATTTTCCACACATTGACAGCAGGGCCAGTCCACAGGGAAACGCCTGCACAGACACCTGTGTGCCTGCCACAATCCATTCACAGAGACTGCAACCCTCCATGATGCACATCAGATAATGGCACGAACTATACCATAGACTAAAACATTGCATAATACCCTGTACAATGTACTTTGCACTTGTCACAGAGATGCATCTACAGAATTGTACAGATATCCAGGTTCTGGTCTCTGCTGAGCATTGGGCTTCATTAGCAATCCACAACAACACACTGTGCCCCATCGCCTTGCTGATGCCTAGTTACGTTTGTCTGTCACCAAATGCAATCAAAGCACATTTATCCAGGTTGCAGTTTGCAGGACTGTCACTTCAGGATTTAGATTAAACTACGTTCCAGGCTGGTCTGCTCGGGTCACCTGGTTCAACAGTGGGTTAAGTGCAGTCCCCCCTTGCACCATGCCCCCACCCACCAGCCCCATTAAGTTTGGGCTCTGTATCTGCAGGTTCTGGTTTATATCGCTTGGCCCTGACAATCCCAGCATCGCTGCATAGTCGCGCTTCTGCCCAGCTTCAATGCCACCCCTCGACCCGCGATTGGCGGCTGGTTGACCAACTGTCCGTGTACTTCTGCCTCGGTACCCCAGCCCCCACTTGCAGCCAGTCCAATTGTTTCCACGTCCACGGCCACTAGCATTCCAAGCACTGCTTCGACCACGGCCACGGCCAGCCTACAAATGCACAGAAAAAGATCGGCTTTGGCCTGACATCATTCCTCTTACAATCCACACAGCATCCAAGGCGTGCCTGTGTTGAAGTGCACATGATGACAGATGCCAGCCCATGGAGCAGCTGGTGAGTGGTATTGTTCATTGTGCTTCACCAAAGGTCACATTGTAATGTTGCATGGGGTTCACAGTGTCGCTGTTCTGAACCCCACATATCAAGTTCCTGTGCCAGTCCCTCCCTGCTGAACTCCCACTGGGACTGCTCTGCTTCTCTGCATCTATTTCTGCCGATGCTACGGGGTCCATTCAATATTCCTGTTGCAGTGATTTCATGCTGACAATACATCAGGCACGGCATACTACATGGGACGAAGACAGCCATCTTGCCAAATTCTGGTCGAACCATCATCCTGCACTTTTCCCACAAACACAAACAGCAAGGGGCTTTAAGCCTCAAACACAAACACGCACACCCATGCCATAGTGCTGGATGCCAATCCTGACACACAATTCTGTTTGATGCAATTCCTCGCACATTGCATGTCCCACAACATCCGCAAGTGAACCATCAACCTGGCCAAACGTATTGCAGCCAAAAGAGCCTGACCGGCTGGGAACCTCCCAAGCCTTGCGTGGCTTTGGCACAGAAGGCACATCAAATACACGTCCTTTCTGGCAACTCAACAGCCACATACACAAGAGCACCTGTGCAAGCAGTATATAAGAATGTCCAGCAACATACTGCAGCACAACTCAAGCTGAAGTGCATCTGATACTCTTAGATTTGTCAAAACTCTCAAAGAAATCAGTGCACATTTTTCACGGCATGAGTCATGGTGACGTTTCGATCACCTCCACTTGCTCAAGTCCAAACAAGAATCCTTAACAGGAAAAAGATGCACAAGCATCACAACCGCCATGCGGCGTTATATTCACAGTTTTTTTTGCAATAAATGGATAAACAAGGACCTGAAATCCACGCCAATGTCGAGAACCAAAAAGGCTGCTGAGCAAACGATTGATTGTTCACCACAGCATCCATCAATCCTATGTGCCCATTCTGAACACAATCTTTGCAAGGACCTCCATACCTGTAATGAACGTTGCTTTGCTTTGCCTGGCTGTATGAAGTAATCCTCTGAAAGAGTCTCAAGAAGCAAATTTAAAGTAGCAGCTGCTGAGATTTGCCTTGCATCTTTCTTGTTTCTACCCTATTCAAAAGATGGTCACACAGCTGTTCGTAAAAGGTCTCATGTCAAAAGAACAGCAGATGTAAGAACTGCACTGTCCAGACAGGGATACAGATCAAACCTAACTCGCATCCAAAAAGCAAGCAACATGCCAGGCACAAAGCAAGCGTAATGCAGCAGCTCCATGTCCAAGAGCATCAAGACATGAGCAGGAAAACTCTGGCATGGATTAGACATTGTCTGTTGCCCCGCTGCCCCAAAAGTCCACTCCAGGAACTTCTCTCTGCATCAAACTTGAAAAACGATTCCTTCACACCATCACTATAAGTCACTATAAGTCACTGGGGGCTGATGCCACTTAACGACACCGTCTTTTCATCAAAACTCAGGATAGCTGTTGAGTTGTGACATCAACATGTGGTCAGCAGGTAATGCGTTGCATGGTTAGACACTTCCATTTGAACATTTGAACTAAGTGCCAACTGTAAACAGGGAGCAAACAGCCAACAACAGGGCAATGTTAGACAGCCAGGCCAGTGCTCCTTCTGGCCTGCCATCACACAAGCGAACACACCCTGGGTGCACATAGCCTTGACATTGAGGGGGAGGAATGCATACCCGTCCTGCACCTGTGGCATATGTATGGCCACGGTTATCAGTCAGTTTGGTTTCCACATCAAAAGGACCCATATTTGATGCTGAGTTTTCTTCGTGCGACACCTGTGGCACAGCGGCACACAATGAAGTCCTGCAACTCACCATCGTGCAGCACAGAACATTTGCAGCTCAAAATATGGCAAGGGACACTCTAGTATTCAAAACAATAGTTCTGTTGGCAAAAGTCCAATCATGACCTCCCACCAATTGACACATGGACTTTCTCTTCCTCAGACCACATGCAGCCCTGTTCAGCCCGCATACAGGGCAATGATTGATTGATCTGCAACCCATAGCAACCAGCAGAACCAAAGATTCTAGATCGGAGAATTTGGACAGCTTCTACCCTCATCCTCCTTAGCGCAAGAACTAATACGCAGATAATATCAAGTTGTGACTGTCAAGTTTTAAGGGTTGATGAAAACAAAACAGATGACAAGTTCGCATCCAACAGTGCCTTGTACGATGCAATGACCTACAGGGTTGGGGAGTTGGAAAGCTTGTGCCTTACACACAAAGTGCATGCAATAGGAGGATTTACCCAAAGCTGTTCCCACTACGCCTCCTCAAAATGTTCTTGTCCACCTCACAACTGGATAAGACATCCACACGTTGGAGACATCGACAGATAACAATGCAGGCCTCATTGCCAATGGATGGGGTTTGGGATCTGGACACAATCTTCATGGTAATACACCCCACCCCAGCTCATGCTTTATACCCATGTACTGCAGGTTCCTCTGCCATAGGCATGGCCAGATGACAGTCCATTCCAATCCACAAGCGCAAGACACAGTGATTACCTCAAGGTTCCACCTGGTAGCATATTCATGCAACACCGCCAGCGGGGTCTTGTTCTCCCCTCCAGGACTTGACCTGATGCTGTGCATCAAACTTTTGCATTTCGCGAATGAATCAAGATAGGAGCTCATGTCCAGCAAGGCAGCTGCCGGCTGTTCTGCCACCATATTCCTGTCCTCTTGTTGGCTCTCAACATGCGGTCTCTTCATACCCTCCATCGCAGCCTTGAATGCTGCGGTCACTGCGGGCTTCTTGTCTGTTGCGGCCCGCAGGCTCCTGATGAGCGCGTTGATGCTGGCTTTGGGGTCAGGATCCAAGGGGAACTGCGGCAGTTTATAGGAACAGCTGCAGGGCTCACCCGGCTGCCTGCCACTCTTGATGTGGACGCCCACGGGCATGTTCCGGATCTTGCAAAGCAGCAGCCCAATGCCAATCAGGAAGTCACGGCCACGGACGCTCAAACCCCAGTCACAAACAGGGCCGGGACCGGCCAAGCGGGCCCAACACTCATGAACAGCTCTGTCGGCACACCGCCCTCCGTCCCGCCCTCCGCCAGGCCACGACCCGGCATGCATGCGCGCCCTGTCCTCATGCACCCACACTGGACCCCGCAAACCCGACGCACCTGGCGGATCATGCGGCAGGCCACATCCGCGGTCTCATGGTCGGGCAGCTGCACAGTGGCGTAACCCTTGCACTCCCCGCCCTCCCGCCGCGCCACGCTGACCTCCAGCACCTGCCCTATCGCCTCGAATGCGGTCCGCAATGCCTCGTCCTCGAGCTTCTCCGGCAGGCCCCCGACATACACATCCACGCTGGCCCCAACGCAAGGGCCCGCGCCAGCGTCCCCAACGCTGCACACCACGCACACACACGCAACGGCGTCGGCGGCATCAGAGGGATCTTCGCGGCGCGAGCGAGGCAGGGGCTCGGCCCGCGGCAGATGCGCACCCCCCGTTCAGCAATTCTCTGGTTCCCGTGGGCGCGGAATCCTGCTGCTCCGCCGGCTGCCCGCTGCCGATCGTTTCCTTGTCCGCCCTGCGGCCCTGAGCCGCTGGTGGGGCGGCCTCAGGTGCGGGAGGGGATTGCTCCCCCGGCGGCTGTTCTGCCATGTTCTCTGCGCGGGGTTGTTGCCCCAAAGAGGGGGGGATGGCGACACAACAGCCACTGGGTGTGGCCTTCAGCAGTCCCTCAGGAGTCCTACTCCAGATAGCCACCCACACCTGCTAGGAACCGAATACGCAACGCATTCTCCACATTCGCACGACATTAAATGGCGTTCACCGTTTGCGATCGCGCCTCCACGGCCTGCTCTCCGTCCTCCGCGCCCATCACAGCACTCTTGCTCGTCATGCGTTACGCGCCCCCCTGCCCTGTTTGCCATTGTGTCTCCCCTCGGTGTGGAAACAGGCATTTGTTTTCTCATTGTGGGGCTTTCGTCATTCAGACTATTTCATACCTTCACTGGCGTGCTTTTTGGCTGGCTCCTGCCTGGTTTATTTTGATGCGCAGGGGGTTTTCCAGTAGAATGAATTTCTGATTTCACCCAAATGTGCTGCCCAACGGTTGTGGTGGGGGAGTGCCACGGGAATTGAGAGCAGGGGTCAATGGCTGATGGGCGGACGAGGCCCAGGGCCTGTACAGAAACACTGAGAGGGGACGCATTCTTGCAACAAGATGGATCCCGCGTATTCCACACCTGGACAAACAACTGCACGTTGCATCATGCGCTTCCCCCCTGAAGAGTGGTTTTAGGCGCATTCGGACCCACGGATAGCAAGGCAACATCGATGGTTGGAGCCGGGTCCCAACACACACCAGGAGCGCAGCACAGCGTTGCCCTCCCAAAGGAATTTTTCCATTACCATGGGGCCTTTGCTGTAAGGGACGCCTCGTCGGCACAGCCACCCTCAGGGGCCGCATTCAAACGCAAGGGCCGTTCACAACGCAAACAGAGCGAGAAATGCTACAATGATATGGCACAGAATGCCATAGTAAGCTCTTCACGCTACTGCCAGAAAAAAGCCTCTTTGTTCATATCTTGACAAGCTGCCCAAATTCCCAAGCGTCCCCAATGAATCTTGATTACGATTCCCGCCTTGAGCCGATTTATTTATCTGCTGCCCGCACCACTGCCGCCCATTGAATCCTCACAAGTGAAGCCCCACTTAACTGGACGAAACGTTGATCTTGAACTTCAAGACTTGAAGATCAACGATCTTCAACAATTGAAGATCAGGGTTTGGTCCAATTAATTTGACAAATTAATCAAACGATTCAGCTGCCGTCTCCCATTATGAGTATCCTTTTCCGGAGTAGAATGGACAGGATGGTATGGTCGTCGGGTTGCAGTTTTCTAAAAGTGTAATATGTATTCAACGAATACTATTCGTCATGGCCGTAAGGGAATAGCCCGGCTGCCATGATCTGAGGCACAGTTGATGTGGCAATTCTGGTGAAATGCTTCGAAGTAAATATGGGCAGGAAAAGATTGGAATCATGTGGACATTTCTCAGATTGCCATGGATTTAAACGGTTGCCCCTCGCGCCCCTCTCGCGCATGCACATCCCCGGAAATTTGCTAGGCGTTGATGCAACATTGATGGGCACTTCCATCAATGCTGGTCTTAAGAGCTGGTGTGTGTAGAGCGGTCTTGATGCAATGTTGCATCAAGAGCAACATGGCAACGTTGCATCAATGCTTGAATTGATGGAGTGTTGCTATCAAGGGCTGTTGCTGGGGTGTTGATGCAACATTGCAGCAATACGTCTTGATGGTACCGTTGCCGCAAGACACGTTGTTGGAATTTTGGATCAACGACTGTGCACATCAGCGTTGATGCTGAGTTGTATTGCCAAAAGGGAGAACAATGTTACTGCAATACGGGCGTCCATCAACAGGCTTGCAATGGGCTCATTCTTTGATATTGAAAAGTTGATGCAAGGCCCGTTGATGGCAACGCTGCCAGATGGTTCTGTAACTGGCGTGTTGCACCGAGATATCTTTGTTGTTCTTTGAGTCAACCTGTGTTAAGTACACAGTTGGGCCAAGCCTTGGGGAAGATATCGATCAGCAGTTGTGCGCAATGCATCGGTGGTTGTGTCCCCTTGGTGTTGCCATTGGAGGCTGCGCTATGTGCTTTTTGCACCTGGTGCCCTTCTGTTTCCATGTGCATGCAGCTGTTGCCACGTTGTTAGATCGTTGTCTCCCTGAACTGCCCCACCCACGCATCCAACCATGTCTGGTAGTGGACAGCATCGTCACTGGCTGCAGCAGCTGCACCCCTATCTAAGATGCACTCTTATCTGCCATGCAGGGGCCACACGCAGCAAGGGCATGTGCGTCACAACTCCCAATGGGTAGTGCACAAGCATACAACACCATGACATTAACTACAAGTCGTCCACAAAACTGTTTTGTTACAAAGATCATCCTTCCGCTCTCTAATCAGGTTGTTTATGCGAAACCTTGATGACAGCCCCCTTATTGAACCCTGGAAAAGATCAACACCACGCTCATCCCTGCCTTCTTTGAATCCTCGTTGTCTTGGCTGCTGTCCACGACAAGTGACATGTAAACGGCGCTTCCGAACATCAAACGCCTGAGCATCGGGCAGCACACAAGGGACCATTCAGCTTGTCATGCCTACCACGTTCAACACACTTGCCTTTGCTCGTGGCGTTCGCTGCTGCTGTGGAGGCCTTCGCCGCCGCCGCCGCTGCCACCATTGATGGGCCACACAACCGCCTACAGGTCAGGTCGAGGGGCTTCTCACCTGATCGCTGATCGCATCGTCGCCGCCGGCTCGCTCCTATCCAGAATTAGTGCCAGGTAGGCAGCGTCTTAGTGCTACAGCGCCCTGAGCGTCAGGCGCCACACATGGGAGCCCTCAGCACGTTGCGGTCAGCCCACCCGTCAGTGTTCTTGGCGTTTGCCGCCTCAGCCGCCACCACCGTTGATGGGCACCACAACCACGGCCAAGTTCCATACTTCAAGTCAAGGGGCGCGCCACCTGATCGCCGATCGCAAGATCGCCGCCGGGTGGCCGCCATCGTTCCATGTTTGATGGGTGGTGGCCCCTGCCGACACTGGACACTACAACCCTACAACAGACAACACAGCTAGTCACGCCAAACATTCACAACGCTGCAGCCGACAAGCGACCGTCGTTCCATTCGCAGAGCTTCGCTGGGTGGTTGGCGGCGGGGGCAGCGTGGTGGGTGGGCTGATGCTCGTCTTGTCGGGGCACCTTCGATTTGAACTCCCAGAGGAAAGGTGATGGGTTTCTGGCACGGAGAGGGGTTTGAAGTAGACGATGAAAACAACAAGCTGACTAATTGACTGATTCCCGTCGCCGCTCCTATCGAAGTCGATTTTTTTGGGGGGGTGGGGGGTTGGGGGGCGGCGGGGCACCGCTAATATTAGAAAGCGAAATGATTATAGTGCTCATAAATCCAACAACTGGCCAATAGTAGAAGAAGAGAGTTTATTGCTGTTGCCCAAGTCGACGCCTGCACTTGACTAAAAAACGATGATTAGCAATAAGAAGTAAATGCTCCAGTGAATGGTCCGTCCTTCCAATGTATTGACGATCTTTCAAAACTGCAACCAGCTGAAAGTGCCGGATTGTGACAAGCAAAGCACTTGCCAAAGAGCACAGTGGTTCAGAGAATGACAAACCTTGCGGGGGTTAATCACACAGCATCCTGACTGCTCTGCGGCATCAAACTTGTATTCACAGCCATGCAACCTATGGCAAACACATGACTGCGGGTAAACATTCAAACACAAGAAAGTCAGCAGCAAACACATGACCTGAAGCAGACATCCCAGCACGAACCCATCAGGCACAGTCTCCACAGCTTCCAAAGCAAACAAGCCCACTTAAATGCATGAGAAGTCTTCCTCTACAAAAATGCTGGCAATCATGGGTGTAGGCGGTTCCTCTATTTAGCAGCAGCCGCTTTCCAGTCATGGCATCAGCTCACTTTCTAAAAGGGAATGCCATTGGCAGACTTGACAATGAAAGCACTGTTGGTACGAAATACGATTGCACTAAGAACCACAACCTGAACAACACAATTCTACAGATATCTTCGTGTCAGAGCAATGCAAGTGATTGCAGTTCAGAGCTCAGAGACCTTTCACATCTGCGCAAGATAGCCTTTGACCTTGCGAATGTGGTCAAAATGCTCATGCCTTATCACAGGATTCTGCAAAAGGGATACAGAAGTGCTTGATTTGCAGAAGCGACATTTAGGCTGGGAAGAAATTGTGCAGCAATACGTTAAGCCCTGTCCATCATGCCAGCCATTTGGTACTCAGTTGGCCATGCACTTCGTAACACAGAGCATATTAATCTGCAGGCAGGCTGTGCTACACTGGCAAATGCATGGTAGGAACATGATGCTCTGCTGTATGGTGCAAACATAATTCAGGCAGCCAACTAAAAAGCATAGCAGTTCAGAGGTAGGATACAATAAAAGGAAACAAGTGCCTGCAGCAAGTGTTCGTATCACATGTTCAAACCACATCGTATGAAGATGGACAAATTGTTGCACTAATGCTGTTAGG